TATTTTTCATGTAGATCCATGTTGATCCTGGGATATCCTGGGCATGCTTGGGCTACGGCCTATATCTTCATTTAAGATATTAGGGTGTGGTTGAACGGCGTGAGCGCCTTGGGGCAAAAATGGCCTACATGCCTTGCAGCCACTTTTTGGCCAATTAGGCCAAATCAATACTGTAGCTGAGACGGCCGATAGCACATGGAAAAATGCGCTGAGACATACATGAACATGTCAATTTGCCTTCAAAGCATGACGTGGCAACCTGCTTTAACATGGATCATTCGTTCCCAACAGTGATAGTACAGCACCCTTCATTCATATATATATATATATCATAATATTATGTATATCACCACTCCCCTACGCAGGTGCCAAAAAGTTGAAATCCGAGATCGATGACTTCGCTGATGCCCCCACAGTGCGGGATGCAGTGGACAAGCTTGCCTCCGGAGAAACTTGGATTGTTATTTATGCTGGTAAGACTTTATGCACCCGTGCGCCAAGTTGAGCCAAGCAACAGTGACATCAATGTGCATCTCAGGCATCATCAGTGGCTTCCGTGATGGCAACATTTTCGAGCCAAGTCGAGGAGCCTAGTAAGTCTAGTATGTGCCACAACAGGATCAATCAAAATTCCTACATGCATGTGTCATGTTTCAAATTGAGACTGCATGCACGTCATCCAAGTTGGAAGTTTTGGTTGGCCCCCACAACGTCAAGTTAAAGATTCATCAAAATTCCTACATGCATGTGTCCTGTTTCAAATTAAGACTATAATGTGCGTCATCCAAGTTGGAAGTTTTGGTTGGCCCCCACAGCCTCAAGTTAAAGCCTCAAGTTAAAGATTCATCAAAAATCCTACATGCATGTGTCCTGTTTCAAATTAAGACTACATGCGTGTCATAAGTTTGAAGTTTGGGTTGGCCCAAATGTCAAATTAAAGATTCATCAAAAATCCCACATGCATGTATGCCATGATTCAAACTAAAACTACATGCATGTCATGAAAAGTTTGGTTGATCACCATTAGTTGTATCGGGACCCTATGATAAGCCAAAAAAAGAAACACGTCTCAAATAACCTCCAAGCAACCCCCCTTTTTAAAAAACGCCAAGCTTAGCATTACCAGGCAACAAGGTTAACCCACTCTGCGCGGTAAACATTTACCCCATTGTTTTCTAATTTGCACTGCTCGCAGGAGAGCGAGGGCCGGGGGCATGGCCTCTCAGTCAGCCAAGCTGGGGAGCTATAGTTCTTGGAATCCCACGCGGGATTTTTTTCGCAATGTTCGACTTCCTCTGGACGGGGCTGCGCATATTTTTGCCCGACATAAAAGTTTTAATAGTAACAAGAGGCAGATGCCTGATGCAGTTCTTCCCTGAAGGAACCTGTGGAAGTGCAGTGCGAAGTTTCTTCATCAAGGGATGATGGCACCACAGTTTCGATGGCTGTGCCTATGTTTGATCCTCATGACATTTTGCAACACCTGTTTCGCTCCGGGATGAAGATTCCAACTGAATCACTCAAGAGGTATTGGCGCCACCTCAAATCTGTAAACGACCGATGGGCCCTCTCAGTGAATGATGAGACTTTGATCCCGTTGCTGGTCGTTAGTTTTCATATTCAAGTTTTGGATGTTTTTCTGCTGGCCAGAAACCTCAAACAGGTGATGTGAACCCTGCGCAATTTTTTGTAATCTACAAGCCCTGCATCCAACCCTAAGGATTGGGATATATGGGGATGAAGCCAACACCTCGGAGAATTTGCACAGCCCCATGAAGGTATTGTACGTGCACATGAATATCATCGTCTACAGACCGAAATCTGTGAGATTGTCACGATATCCTCTGTTCACTTTGCGAAGTGAATTGATAGATGGACCGTTAACCCTGCGTCCATTGCTGCAGAGAATTGCTTGGTCATTGAACCTCGCCTTTGATGGTGTTGGATCGCTTGGAGAGAAACTATGCCCCAATGGGGAACGCTTTGTAGTTGCAGAATTTCGAGGAGATCAAGAGTTCCATCGAAAATTGTGGCAGCACAAAGCGCATTGGAATTCTCTTTGCCCCTGCTTCAAATGCCACGCCTCCACTGTAGATCCGAACTATTTGTATACAGATTTTTCGGACAATCCTGGCTGGTTGCAAACAGAGCGCAGCAACGTGGCATTCATCATTGAGGAGCTGCCGGATTTACCGTGTCACTAAGCTTTGACACGGCTTTGACTAGATAACTTCTTTGCTTTGTGAAGCTCTAGGTAACGAGTATTAATGATGGCGCAATATTTGGTAGCAAGTGCGCTTTGTGCAAAAGCCATATTCAACGTGTGAGCTATGTTTCCATCATGGTGCCTTCAAGTCAGATGAGGTCCGCTTCTGGGAGTGAAGCACTGGGACATATCTTTGATCAAAGCATGTACGATGCATTGCCTGAACCTGGGGCTGCTGTGGACATGTAATGGAGGCACTCTGAGCATCAGCTGCACTTGGGAAATGTTATTTTTTTTACATGAGTAGTGCGCAAAAGAGTACGAAACCGTTTTTTCACATTGACACATTAACATCTCAGGACGGCCCTGATTGAACATGGATTCTTCGGAGATCCCACATCTGACTTGAAAGCCCTCTTGATGGATGCATGGCACGACTACCGGGCTTGGTGCAAAGCTAATGGAGTATACGCTGGGCAGGGTCGCTTCACCCCTGGGTTGGTCACTGGGCACTTTCAGAGATCATTAAATTAATCAAAAACGTGCACACGTACAGCTCAACATGTGACATGCATGTACACTGAAGTTATAAGTTTGTGGCCACGCGTCAGCACAGCTTCTCGCACTGCGATCATTGGCATGTAAGGTGACCAAAAAGGTGCACGGGGATTATATGACGTGCAAAGCTTTCAACTCCAGGGTCATTTCTCAGTGGCTGTTGGATTGTGCCACACATGCTGACGAGAAGTCGTTTCCAGCCAGCCCAGACCGTATATTTGGCAAGTGGTTGGAACCCGAAGTGGCAAGTGGAAATTGTATTTTTCCAACTGATGAGCGATTGCTTCACCAAAAGTTAGCTTTGATGCTTGGACAAGAAGGCAAAACTTCTTGGTTTAACATGTGCAACAATGTGTTTTTACTGGTCGGGTAATGTCAGGAAGCTATTTGCATATTTTCTTCCTAAGATTCTACATCAAGGGTGTCTTTCGCAGTGAGGAATGGGATTTGCCGATATTGCTGCCTGACAGAAGGATGTGGACGAATCTTGCCACCTGGCATTTATATGCAGAAAGAAAGAAATTTGCGGCCTTCCCTCGAAAAAGGGAAATTAAAGGTTAAGGGAATCATGTGCACATGTATGAAAGCCAACTTCCAGCAAACAAAGGTCAACACACGATGCCGGTGAGATCTACGCAGCAGGGATGCAATTCTTGCGTCACCATGTCAAGCTGTCGTTGATTGCATCGAGGCAGGTTGGAAGTAGTATGTAGCAAGAAGCGTGCAAATGTATGGAACAACGTGTTCTGCAGCAAAACATGTGCTGATATGCGTTGCTAGGCGACGCATTCTTCAGTGGGTTTGCAAGCCGAAGATGCACGTCTGGTGCTTATGGCAATGGTGCGATCATGTTTGCTGCTGGATGGCATGATACGGCTTGTGGTGTGCTTGTGGCATATACATATACTGCCTGCGAACCTGCTCAATGCCTAAGGTGTTCCATCACGTGCTCATCACTGATGTTCTGAAGCTTCGCAGCTTGGCTTTGGTGATATGCATGTACATGCATGTACAGCTAAACATGTACAAGCACTTATGATGGGCATGTTTATCTTACATTAACAGAATTGCACGTGAACAGGTTGAACCCTTGGTACATGTAGCAGGGTTGCTCCCAGAGAACCACCAGGGCCAATCAACAGTTAATCTTCCCACTTTCCCCGCATGACTTAGACTTTCCCAGTTTCCTCACCTATATATATCGATCTGAGGACTCAATCCACGATTCTTTCATTGCTTTGTGGATGAGGATATGATGCGGTGGTGCAAGTTGGTTTCTCGGAAGTCGCATCGGCGAACGCTGGAAAAGTCAGTGCTTCGACGGGCCAACCTTCGCCTTGTCTCACTAGCTTGGCGCACAAAAGTGCTGAACAAACAAGCCAAGCACAGGGAAGAAAAGACCGTGATCGAGCGTGACCAAGCGTGAACCACCAGCGTCGTAGGTAGACCCTGTCTCTCCCAAACGTCGTGGGTTAACCTTGTCCCAAGACTTTCTGGGAATCAGTATATATATATATATTAACATTGATATATCCGATGATATGTTCATGTCATCACCATCTTCAGTGAACCAACCACGCACTGGCAGGCTCTTCATTTCGCCTGAGGGACTGTTCCCAGTCATTGAGGTCATCTTGGGTATATGCCACCACGTCTGAAATGAAACCTCAGCCAGGCCAGCAACAAAATGGCGCTATGGTGGCCTAAACTGAGTGATGTTGACATAGATTAGTTGATATTCATTCTGATAAATTCAACATCTATTATGGTCCATGCGTATAAGATACTAATGTGTATAAGATGTATAAGATACTAATTTGCTAATTCATGTAGATCAGTTCATCATAAATCAATATTTAAATCCCAAACGTTATATATGGAGAGTTTGAGGTCATGAAAGGTTGTACCGATCCCATGACCGAACTGAAAGCACAAGGTGGGGCCTCCTAGTAAGCTAAGTTGGCGCAAATAACTCGGTTAACAATGATTATACAAGTTAGAAATAACCAGGGCCAATCTTAGATAACCTGCAAAAACGATCTTAGCTGGTGAACGCAGATAATCCCACTGATACAAAAAGACTAAAGGATTAAAGCGCCCATCTAATGACCTAGTAACTAGTTAAAGCGGTCAACGTGCACTGCTGTAGACAATTTCCAGGAACGTATGGCAATGGGGGCCTGTCTGAAAGCCATTCCCAAGGAACAGAAACAAAAGCAGCAGCCAAGAAGTGATTCTACAAACAACCAACGTTAGGGGTGTCATCGTAAACCAAATGATCCACTGTCAAGTTCAGAGTGGTAGGACTGTTCCAGAATGCGCGGGCCCGGGCCATGAATGTCGGATTCCTTACGGAAAACTATGGAAAACTATTGATATCATGGCCTCTTTGAGATACCTCGCCGAAACTTACTTTCGTAGCTGGCTGATACAGTAAATATTAGTGAATAATCCGACCCTCTAGTTTTCAACACCCTCTTAAATGGTCCCAAATATGTGTAAATCTCCTAATAAACCATGGTTTCCGGCGGTGTTTAAATGTTGTATAGCACCAACATGACCATTACATGATAAGGAAAATTACTGTCATCACCAGAGGATGAAATGGGTGTTTGCCCTAAATTTTCAGATACACCTATCTAGTCACTGGTGCCTCAGTTCAAAACATACCAAACCACCAAAGTATGGTTGGTTAAATTACATGGATCCTTTGGCTACTTAACCTAGCTGCCTAGCTATGGAAACGTACCATTTTTAATAGCTAATCATTATATAAATCTTCGATTTCTATGGTTTCCATGGCATCCATAGCTGTGAAAAATCACCAGAGGGTACCATCTTCCCACGCTTTCCCCACGCTTTTCCCAGGCTGGATAGCCAGGTCCGCCAGGTCACACTCCGCGCCCGGATGGCACCTTGCCACGTCCGGACAGCCGCCACATTGTTCCACCGGGCCCATCCTGCACCAGGAATCCCCGTCGATCTGGTCACATCAAAATCGCGCTGGATAAAACGGTGCCCATTTTCGGAGCTGAGCTAAGTTGGTTGGTGAAAGATGCGGAAAACGATGGGAACATATGGGGATTTCATGGGATTTATGGCTAATTTATGCTAACTAAGTAAGTTAGGTGCAAATGTTAGTCCAATTTCACTATGGTTTTTGTTGGTGATATGTCTATGATTAATGGGATTATGATCCGTTTATAACTGGGGGAGCACCACCTTGCGGGATTTATGGGTGTACATCTCCTAAGCACCAGCGCATCTATAGGTATTGATCCATAACCATGAGTTTGTCTAAAAAAACAAACCTCCAGTTCCAATGAGTTATCAACGCTTTCCCCATGAATTTGCTATTTGTGGGTATACCCTGTTTTCAGACAAACCCATATAATGTTAATAATTCAATGTCACAGAGCATCCATATGGATTGATGCTTCACAGAAACCATAGAAATGGTAAAATGGGGGGGTGTACTATTTGCTTTACTAATATGAATGTGGTAAACCCAATACTGGTTGGTCGTTTCAACCCCTCTGAAAAATATGACTTCGTCAGTTGGGGTGATTGACATTTATTAATATATGAAAAGTCATATAAAAAAAACAATGGTTCCAGTCACCGCAAACCAGCAATAATACCATATGTTTTTTGCACCATCCTGGAGCCATAGAGATTTTATGACGGTTTTCCGCGTAGATTTAGGGAGATGTTTCGCAGTTTCCCCCGGTCACGGTTGGTTCATGGGATGGTGTCAATGATGGAAGCCAGGGCGGGCAGTAACCGCGATGAGTCGGCATCTACCAATCAGACATGGGACATACCCAGCTACCATGGATGATGTGGATCTGGTTGGTGGTTTCAACCTATCTACCCCGAAAAAAATAATGGAGTGAAAGTCAGTTGGGATGATGACATTCCCAACTGTTTCTGGAAAAATCCATGAGAATCTATGAACAACCACTATAATCCATTCATCCCAACTGTTTCTGGTTCCAGTCATGAAAAATAGTCACCATGGTTCCAGTCACCACCAACCAGTGATGAAACATGGCTGGGACATTTCCGATGAAAATCAAGCTACAAATGGCTAGGAAAATCATCTACAAATGTGGGACTTTCCATTGCCATGTTTGATTACCAAAGGGCAAATCCATGCTTAGATTACCCTCTGGTAATTTAACATAGCTATTGGAAATCACCATTTATAGTGGATTTTCCCATTGAAAATGGTGATTTTCCATAGCTATGTTAAATTACCAGAGGGTACATGTTGGGGATTAAGTTAGTTAGTGGATAACCATGTTCAAGTCATTGTGAATGGATAAAACATGATAAAACCCACCAGTGATAGTAGTGACAGTAATCTAAACACCATTCATTGATATTCATCGATAATCATGCATCATCCCTATAAATCAACGGGAAATTCAGGATCCTAAAATGGAGGTACTGTACCTTATAAGGCCATATTTTGTGGGGATATTCCCTTACATAGGCCTTACATATGGTAGGTACCTCACATTTAGGTTCCTGAAATGGCCATTGATACAAATGATGCGTGATTATCGATGAATACCATCCCATTTTCCCATATTTTCCCCACATGTCCCCACATGTTTCCCACATGTTCATGTTTTCCCCTTCCCATGTAGCTGCCAGTTTCCGTCCGTTTCAGGCGCTCCTATCCCATGGCATAATCACCATCAGCTCGCTACAGGTGTGGTCATAGCCTCACCAATGTTTTCAGGTATCACTGCTATAAAAAGGCACCCCCAAGATGCCTAAACAACTGGAATTTCCTGGAAATATGAGGTAAATATATCCCAGATGCTCCATGTATGGAATATTCACCCACATTTACCCCAAAAATGGTCCAAATGTAGGGAAAAAGTCCAGCACAGAGCATCTGGGTATGTAAATATCATCTATAATATCCGGATAAGCCAGACTTTTCGGCCTCTTTTCGGGAGTTGCTATCATATGAAACGGTGTCTTTTGGGGTAACCAGAAATACAAGGTGTTGCCTTGTATTTTGCCAAGTTGGTGTACACATTAAATGCTTTTGGTCTGTGAATTTAACGTATGCAACACATGTTTTTTCATTTTCAACACCAAGCATGTTGAATAATCAATGATATTTTCCCAACATGGTCTTTGTGTCTTTTTTAACAACACATTTTTGGGATTTTGACCAATGGTGGACTTGGACCATTGAACCGCGTTGCGGGTCTGAAACAAAACACCTACAAGTCGTGAGGCCCCCGGCCTAACGAAATCGCGTGAAAAGTTGGTGCACTAATCACTCCAATTTCACTATGGTTTATGGTACAAGTTGGTGCACTAATCACTCCAATAACTCACGAACTGGTTTTAATGGTACTTATAACGAACTAGTTATTGGGGCGAATCTAAACCAACAAACATCACTGGGGGGGGGCCACATTGTATGGTTACCCTCTGGTAAACAGTCCCAAAAAACGAACTGGAAAGATCCACCATTTTTGATAAGGGTAAATCAACTATTTCTATTACCATTTTCAATAGCAAAGTGTAACAAATTACCAGAGGGTAGATGAGAAAACCCATCTTCTGGGTGCTGTGGATGCGAAATCCTGCACCAGGGGAACGAACTGAAAAGCTACAGGGTGATGCCTCTGTGTTCGCTAAATCGCGATTGGTTGGTGCAAATGTTTGTCCAATAACTATGGTTTATAGGTTCGGGTTGGTGGTTTGAACCCCTCTGAAAAATATGAAAGTCGATGGGAAGGATGACATCCCATATATTATGGAAAATAAAACATGTTTGAGAAACCACCATGCAGGGTTATATAATGTGATATATCTATAGTTCATGGGATTATAACCCATTTCTAACTGGGAGAGTCACCACCTTGTATGAAACACTGTAAATGTCATGGGATTATACTGGGAAAAACGATTTACCAACTGGTGCAGGGTTTTGCAGCCATCCACCATAGAATGACTACTATGGGGAATTAAGCCAAACCATCTAATACCGTTGATGAGAATGTGGCTGAGGATCTAAACATCTAAACTATCTAATTTTGGCAATTAGATAAAACAATGTAACATCTGAGACCTTTAAAAAATATTTTATAGCAGCGGCACATCAACAATTGGCCATGAGAATTAGAATCTTTAATCTATAACCAAGAACCATGCATAACGTGTGGATTTAACCAATCATATGTACAGGTGGATTTTGTGGTACATCAGATGTGAATATATTCGGATATCTGTGCAAACACAGGCAGGCCGCCAATAAAACCCTGGTTGGTTTACATTCTAATCAGATATGATTTGGATACAAAAGGAATCGCAATGCTTACTTGCGAATGCAATTCCATTTAGAATATAAGTGGATATATAACTATACTATACCATTATAACATATTGCAACCCAGTCATGGGATATCCCTAGCTATGGGAAGCCCCTAGAAGCCACAGAACTTGTTGTTCATAGGCTTCACCATGTCCATGGTGGCTTTATCGATTGAAAGAGCCATATATGTTTCTACCTTTAAAATAACCCAGCAAAAACAATATATACTGTAAACAAACATCTCTAAGATAGAACAGTGATTATCAATGATTATCACGATCTTAGTGGAACTTTACAATTTGTTCTTTGAGTGTAATATGGTTATGTTGTGTATATATATATATACACATTTTTATATCCATCGCAAACCTATTTGTTAGCCTAGTTTCGTTTACCAACTTGCCTCCTGGCGGCCCACTTTGTAGCTGGTCATTGCTGAGATGTAGATGTTTGATGTGGATTATGTGGATCACCAAAAAGTCCCATCCAAAAACCAAGTAGTCATCATCCCACAAAAATAATTATAGCTGTAACCCCCTAGCTGGTTGGTGGTTTCAACCCCTCTGAAAAGTTTGACAGTCAATGGGAAGGATGACATCCCATATTATGGAAAATAAAAAATGTTCCAAACCACCAACCAGCTAGTATATCCCCATGTAATATCCCATTCAATCCCAATCAAATTCATGGGTTGATGGCTTGATTCTGTCTAGCCAGGTCCAGGCTTAGTTCCCCAAGAACTTTCACGTCGGACAGTTGGGACAGTTTATTTTTGATGTTCTGATGTTCACCCTTCTCTGGTTGGTGGTTTTTCGCCCTACCCCTCTGAAACATGATGGAGTGCAAGTCAGTTGGGATTATGACATTCCCGATAAATGGAAAGTCATAAAATTCCATGGCTCCAGTCACCACCAAGCAGTTTTCAGTATGTTTGCTTTACAGTTGCCCGGATCACTAAAGTTCGAACAACATGAACATTGGATGAAATCCTCCTGGAGGTGGCCTTTTATTCGTGTGGAAGTTCTCCCCAGTTGCACATCCATGGCAGACCCTGGCCGCCATCATGGCCGCCATGGCACATGACCACTCACAACGAGCAGTTTGGCAGTCCTTGGGGCTGCATCCTAGCAGCTTTATACTAAACACGGCTGGGAAATCTCCATCCCATGCTGGGATTCGCAGTGGGAAAATCATCTACTAATGGAAACACAAACCGAAAAAACTTGGATTCGCTTAAGTTAATTTACTTACTGGTGCGTTTTACGAAGGAATTTTCGGGAATGATCCACTGGCTAACTATCAATAATCATCCCAGCAACCCTCAGCAACCCATCCATTCCCTACGTTTAGCACGCACCAGTAAGGTTAAGGACCCCGCAAAAAATCTATGAAAACTCTTCCCTACTAGGCGCTTTTTGCCGATTCCCCAAGTAGATTTCCCATGACAGATTTTTGCATCCTGGAGCTGCGACGTGCTGGTTCTTCACCAGCGATGATCCTCCAAGTACTTTGTAATGTCAACCCCGGATTTTGCTAAACCATGGTTTATGAATATTAGGGGGGGTACTCCCCCAATAGTCATGATTTGATACCTTTTTATGGTACCCTCCCAATCAAACAGCTGTTTGGGGTTTATTAATCCAGGGTTGACATTATAAGATATAGTATCAGTAGCGAGATACAACTGGGGTCCCAAAAAAAATGACTGAACTATGACGGATGACTTTTGATCTACTTCGATCCACTGGGATGCACATGCAGCTGGACCACGACTAGGATGTGCTGTGATGTGTTGCAAAATTTGAGGATTATTCCCCTTGCTCCTTGCGAGACGGCTATAATTCTATAATGTATATCTTCACCACCACCAACTACTAATGCAAACACATCCCAGATATGTCCACCAAACATCATTAAACATGTTTGGTTTGATAGTCCATTGTTAATGTCAATCCCGGATTAATAAACCATGGTTTACTAATTAGGGGGCTACTCCTCCAAAAATCATTTCATCTGATACTTAAATGGTACCCTCCCAATTGAAAAGCCGTTTGGGGTTTATTAATCCAAGGTTGACATTACACTTAACACCCTCTGGTAAACTAACATAGCTGTTGAAAATCACCATTCTTAATGGGAAAACTCACTCTAAATGGCCGTTTTCAATAGCTATTTTGACATAACCAGAGGGTATGTCCACCATCATTAAACATCTTTGGTTTGATAGCCCATTGTTACACTTAACACTACTCAAGTCCTTCATAAAAGCCTGGAGATTTCTGAGAAATCCAAGGGTCAGCGCACTCCGCATTCGCTGCGACCACCGTAGCCTTGGCCTCCGCACCCGATTTGCTGCCTCCGGATGACGTCTACACGGAATCGACCGATGGAAAGCCATGGATACCCTCTGGTAAACATACAAACAACTATGGAAAATCACCATGCTATTAATGGGTAAATCAACTATTTCTATGGGCCATGGCTTCCATAGCTTTTTGTATGTTTAGCAGAGGGTAACACTGGAGTATTCCAAACGCGCGGTGTATCTCCCACTCAAAAGAGTCAAAAAACCATCAAGAAATCACTGGGACGCACATCTAATCAATGGGAATCTCAGGATCCTAAAATGGAGGTACTGTACCATATAAGGCCATATTTTCTGGGGATATTCCCTTACATAGGCCTTATATATGGTAGCTACCTCCAATTTAGGTTCCTGAAATGGCCATTGATCTAAAGTGGCTTTGTAGACATCCCCCCCAAAAAAAGGTTCTTTATGCTTGGTAACAACATATAGACACTTGATTAATGAAATAGGTAATATGAGACATTATATCCACCTCTTATGGTTATTATCTGATACGTGACATACAAGAACTGTCACTGGCCACCTGAGGAACCCTAAATTGGAGGTACCTACCATATATAAGGCCTATGTAAGGCCTATGTAAGGGAATATCCCCAGAAAATATGGCCTTATATGGTACAGTACCTCCATTTTAGGATCCTGAAATTCCCATTGATGTAACTAAGTAGACTCGTTACATCAATGGGAATTTCAGGATCCTAAAATGGAGGTACGTTAGTACCATATTTTTGGCCATAGACATCAAGTAATCTATCACTATTTCATCCCCTTCACCCCATCGTACTGCAATTAAGCAAAGTTCTCCAAGGTTTCTGTCCCGCCTTTGAGGCCTGATGCCATGATGGTTGATGATTATGGGTTTATAGTTACTAACATATATATATATATATATCTATGATATTAACACTATATATGTATTCAAAATATACAATATATAATAAATACAAAATATTTAAAAAAATACAATAGCTCATCATGATATAATACAATAAAAACTTTTAAAAAATAAAAACCAAAAAATAATATAATAAAATTAAATAACATATAATATATAAGACGATAAATATAACATGATATAATATATTATAATATAATGACCATATTATGAATAATATACAATATAGTATAATACAGTATAATATAATAAAATATCAATATAATAAAATAAAATAAAATATAAATATTGTATAAATTAAACATTATATATTATTCTTACTATTTGATTATTACTATTATTTTTATTTCTTTTATCATTATTACATATAGGTGTGTTTATTAACATAGGGGTTTCAATACTAAAGCTACAAAAACTAGTCTAACTTTGGGGGATTTTGGGTACCCCTATTTTAGGAACCCCCATAGAATGGATAGTCGAAAATCTGGATATTGACCACTAAACCAGGAATGATATGTATATATATATATACTCTGTATATTCGATTCAATAAACCAACAATGATATATATATATATATACGGTTTATACTATAACATATACATACTATTTTGTTTGGTAAGATGATATAGGTTTCAAAAACAACAAAGGAGACATCGTATAATCTGTGTATATATGCTTGCATTTGCTTAAAGGAGCCCCAAAGAAACAAACAAAATCACTATAGATTCCCCAAATGGTGGATTTTCCACTGGGAAAGTAAAAAAATCACCTTAAACAAACCCAGGTATAATGTGGTTAAAACAATAATAAACCATCCCCAAAATCACCATCAATGGGTGGTATAAACCATCAACAATGGGGTGGTTTATTATTGTGTTAACCACATATAATATAATATAATATAATATAATTTAATATAATATAATTTACCCTGTGGTAATTTGTTACATAGCTATAGAAAATGGCCAATTTAGTTCGTTGATTTACCTATTAATAGCTAGTGATTTTCCATAGTTTTTGTAAGTTTACCAGAAGGTAATCAACAATTCTGGAAAAATCATGAAAGTTGACCATGATAAAAATTGAGGATTTCAATAAAATTAACCCTCATAATATAATATATATATAATGTGTGTTTGTGTTGATAACCCTGACTCTTAGGTGCGTCTTGGGCCAAGTAGATCCTTCAAGTAGATCTTGGCCGCGTGATGATGGCCAAGCGTTGAACCGATTGATTGGAGGTACCTACCATATCAGGCCTGTATAAGGCCTATTTTTCAGGCCTAAATGTCAGGGAATATCCCAACCAAAAATACACATATGGCCAAAAATATGGTATGTTTACGTAGCTCCATGTATTGGGTCCTGAAGTTCCCGTTGAGTAGTTGTGGGGATGGTATGTGTCTCAAATTCGGGAAAAATATGATATAGAACTCTATATAATTATCTATAGTCTATAGTATGTGTATACATGGTGAATCTTAGATACCTCTCAAAAAATCTAATTTTCAGCTGGCTAATACATTTTACCATTGGTAGCAAAAGATTAATGTACTAGTTCGTATCGAACCAATATTGACCCAGTAGATCTTCATACCCTTTTATATTGGTTGTGGGGGATGGTATGTAAATGAAAATCTGGTAAGAACAGTATGATCATAATATACAATAATAATATATATATATATAAATTGTGTGTACACGGAGGTTTCCTAAAAATGTAGGTACCCCGAAATCATCAATTTTAATCGAATTTTCCAGTATAAACCATCAATTTTGTGGTAACCCCATTTTAGGAAACTTCCACATTATACTGGTTGGTTTATAGTTGTCCCTATTATCCGATAGTATACCCTCCGGGAAACTAACATGGCTATTGAAAATGGTCATTTTATAGTTGATTTACCTACTAAAAGTGGTGATTTTCCATAGTTTTTGGTGTATACCATAATCCCCATAATAACCTACAGGATGGGGCCCCCCAGTTATAAGTTGGTTTATAACCCCATCTAAATATAGCTATAAGTGCGTATCATACACTATTGTTAGAACATAGTTATAAACGCACCAACTTAGCGATTCCGAACTGGGGCCCCACCCTGTATCCTCATTCCCTTAAAGAGAGACCATGTCTTCTGTTGTGTTCCTACACCAATGGCAATCGCTGCTGGATCCGAACCATCCGAAGCGCTTCCGAGAAGGTGCAACTGGATCCAGCGAAGGCATAGCTATGGAGGTTCATCCCCCAACATTTTCCAAAAATGGAGTTTGTCAGTTGGGATGATGACATTCCCAACTGAATGGGAAAAATAATATTCATGTTCCAAAGCATCAAACAGTATATATGTATACATACATATGTATATATGTATACATACATATATGTATATATGTATACATACATATGTATATATGTATACATACATATGTATATATGTATATGTAATATATATATTTACAAAAAATATAAATACATATTGATCTATCCCCAAAAATTCTGATGCTCTGCTCTGTCAACAATTCTCAATATATTGTTTGTATCCGTGTATCCAAGGACTGTTTCATGTTCACCTCACTTTAAAAGGATAGGCTTGTAAGAACCCAGAACTGGAGATTTGCCTAATGTTGAGGTTCGAATCCTAGTTTTTTGTTGGCCAAGTCACTAAGTCTCTCCTTTTGTTGTTCAACCAGTTCCAAAGATCAGACCAAACCAAGTGGCAAATCTTGAAGTTGTACTCGTTCCAGTGACATTGCCTCTCATCATACCAACCTGAAACCAGCGAAAAAAAGCCGGTGAATGAGGGTACCCTCTGGTGAACTAACAGTTTGCTATGGAAAATGGCCATAGAAATAGTGGATTTTCCCACGAAAAATGGTGATTTTCCATAGTTATGTTAGTTTACCAGAGGGTAACACAAGCTGCAAAATACCATCATCGTCAATTGGGATCATCATTGCAGCTAAGGGACATATAAAACCTGGTTGGTGGTATACATACCCCTCTGAAAAGTATGAGTTTGACATTCCCAACTGCTTCTGGGAAAGTCATAAAAATTCCATGGTTCCAGTCACCACTAAGCAGCAGCTAGTTGGGACATGTTTCACATATTTCTTACTGTTTCATGAGGTAAAGATATGTAAAGATCATCCCATTCACCAAGCTCAACATCCCTGTCATGAGCTCAACATCCCAAGATCCGGTAGATCCGCTGGATCCAATACTAAGAAAAGAATGATTTGTTGCCAATAGAACTAGTAAACACATACAAGATGGGGCCCCCAGTCGATAGCGTTCAGTTGCCTTATAAGTGACTTTATGGTAGATATAACTATAGTTAATAGGAGTTTTGATATGGTTTATAAACCCACAAACATCACTGGGGGGCCCCATCCTGTACCCAAAAGATGCATTACCCAATAAATCCCATGGTGAAAATGGCATTTGGGTTTACCACCACACACCCATCTACCCTGCAGGGATCCAGGACCTTCAAACTCTCCCAGGTTTCACCAATTGGGGTTCGTCAAAAAAAACATATGCACAATTGGCTATCCCATGCTATCAACATTGCCAATCCTAGATAATTACTCTACAAAAAAAACTTAGCCGGCCAGTAGATAATCCCATTGATTTCAAAAGACTAAAGGATTTTTCAGTACCCATCCAAGGTTAACCTAGTCAATTCATGATGATTGTCCTATTGAAAGAACCACTCCGTGTTGGTAAACCAAGGTTCCCTACGAGGCCTTGCCCATGAAATGCCATGAAACCACTGGCTTTGAAATGCCATGTGGAGGTTTCCTAAAAATGGGGTGGTACCACTATAAAATCACAATACCCTCTGGTGATTAATGGTGATTACTGGTGATTAATGATGGTTAATGATGCTGATTAATGGTGATTTATGGGATAAATGATTAATGGGGTGTTCATGATCCATTCTTTGTTGTTTTTTTTCGACTATAAACCATCCAGAGAGCTTGGGTACCACCATGGCTTAGGAAACCTCCATGTATACTCCATTTATAGATGGGGTATAGAGCCAAAATGTCACATGATTACGGGATGGTGCCCCCACAATTATAAGTTGGTTTATAATCCTCTATCTAAATATAATTGTAAGTATCATACACTATTGTTAATATAGTTAAAAACCAACTATAGATGTCTATAGTTATCTATAGTTATCTATAGATAACTATAGTTATCTATAGTTATCTATAGTTATCTATAGTTATCTATAATTATCTATAGTTATCTATAGCTATATCTACCACAAACCATAATTAAAGACCTGGGGCCCCATCCTGTGCAAACGATCTATTCAACCTTCAGCCAGGTTTGCCACGCTCACATTCAAACCTTATATATAAGTGAATGTAATTGAACATTTTTGGTTCTACCCTCTACTGTAGTTTTTCCAGAAGTGGTCACTTTATAGCTGATTTACCTAGCAAAAATGCTGAGTTTCGATAGCTAAGTTAAATATCGTTTTTTTACCGACAAAGGGTATATTCCATTATGTCCTCATCATATCACTCTTCCCATTTAAATCCAAATAATCCAAATTTCTATAGACATGAACGGCAAAAACTGCAGATGGCAAGTCCATGTGAGCAGTGATCAAAATACTCTGTGGTCCCCTTATACTACTTTGTTAACGGGGGTCACCACAATGGATTCATTGTGATTGATGATCATCTGATGCTCATCAACCGACAGAGGGGGGTTGAACACTTCCCATGTATCTGGGTAAATGAAATAATATTTCACTAACCTGAATTCTTGGGCCATTTTGGGATGATTCCTCTTATTAACCATGATTCCAGGGTTCGGGAGAACAGTGAGGACGTGATGAATTTTACCCAGATATATACCTGATTATCCCCATTGTTGATGGATAAATTCCATTAGATCCCATTAAATCACCATGAAAAATCACCGTTGATCATGGATTTTTCATGAATTTCCCATGTAGTTCACCACTAAATCACCATTAATCATGGACTTTTCCATGAAAAATCATGGAATTTCCCAGGTGGAATCACCTCTTATTACCCAGACGTATTCATCCACGTCTCCGAAAAACACAATACAGGCGTCGCCCGTTGCGTCGAGATACGGGCGTCACAGTTCACGGGGTACTGAGGGCAGGTCCTCGCAGGGTCAATGCGTTTTGTGAGGCCCCCTAACTAAGTTGGTTTAGTTGCACCAATACCTACCCTCTGGTAATTTAACATAGCTATTGAAAATCATCATTTTTAATGGGAAAATCCACTATTAATGGTCATTTTCAATAGCTATGTTAAATTACCAGAGGGTAAGTGTAGTAATATGATAATATATGATAATATGATATAATATGGAGATGTCCATTTTTATGGGGCCCTGTTCATCGAAAAAGTGTTGGAATTTTCCCATGGAAATGAAGCATCCGATGTGAGCTTGACCAACTTAGGCGTTTTTAAGACCTCCCAAGCTCCCAAGTGCCACAGAAGGATGTCAAGGATGTCACCAGAGAATTTTTGGCACTGATTATTTTTTGCAGATACCTGGATGATACCAGAGGGTACTTACCAAGTTGTAACTTCTGGATCCGTTCTGGATCTTTTTTTTGGGGTGGCTGCTGTTTTTGCTTCTTTCTAAGCGGCTTTACTACTAATCTGATTGACCATATATAAACATTATATATAAAACATTATAAACAATACTGGTTATATTGATGGTTTTCCGGCAAACATCAAACTGGAGCAAGCCACTCCATTCACATCAACCCCTGTTCTATGCTTTGATAAGTTATAATCACATCATGTCATATTCCCCTCTTGATTGGTCATATGGTCATACCCCCATTATATGTAAACTTAGTATGTTTTGGCTGATATCCCAACTGTTGTCTACTTTCCATTTGTTTTGGATAGTGAATTCCTCTGTCCCATATACTCCCTCCTATTGAATAAGCCTTTAATATATAAACCTAACTGTGATTAGGGGGTTATTCCCGTTGCAAACCCTGTTTTTGTTGGCCCCACCTATAACTTTCAGGTTGAATCCCCATAAATCTGGTTGGTTTATGCCATCAGCACATGGAGGTTTCCTAAAATGGAGGTACCCAAAATGGCTAGTTTGTAATGGAAAACCCTATTGACATGGATGATTTGGAGGTACCCCTATTTCAGGAAACCTCCTTATGTCAATCCACCATCAATCCAATCCAATTGTTTGCATTCTTATGTTTATCAACTTACAGATCAACAGTCAACGACAAATCCACATTTGCCAGTCTTGAGGGCACCGGTCCCTTCCTGTACCATTGGTTCCCCACCCACGTTTAGTCCTTGGTTTGCAGTTGCTGCAGGTGTCTGGCACCGTCTTGCCGTTGTCAAAGGAGACGGTTCCAGCGATGCACTTGGGGCCTGCAGGCTCTGTAGAGCTTCGGGGGGCAAAAAAAATGTGGAACTGGCAGGTATCAACCGGCTGGGTTTACCTGACAATTTGTGGGAAACGAAATGCCAGTGGTCTATCATAATTCTTCATGTTTGGACAAAACCGTGCTTTTTTTGGGAAAATAAATGGGTAGGAAATAGATGGGTCGGTGTTGTTGACTGTTTATCAAATTTACGAACTAGGTTTCCTAAAAGAGTGCCCCCCCCCAAAGCGGCTGGGTCTCCCCACAAAAACAACAAGTAGGAAGAAATGACCTATTTTGTATAATTTTAAGATCCGCCATTGGTTATACTTGCGGGGCAATCCCGCTTGCAAAGCAAGACTTCCACTTGTAACCGCTTTTTCTGCACATTGATTTCCCTAGTTATACAGCCTTGTTATAAACCAACCTACCTGTTAAAGCTGTTACCGCTTTGTAGAACTGGAGGGGAACCATAGCAAGTCCCTGTACTGAAGGTGTCCAATTAATGTATACTTGATGGGCTAGTAACCACTTGCGAGTCGGAGTTGTGGAATGATTTTCAGAGAATACTTATCCAACCTAGAAAACTAGATACCACCTCGATTAAAAACAACAACCTGCATCATTTTTATCAGATTCTCAGACCTAATTTCAACACACTGCAATCACTGCAACTAAGGAAACAATTGGCTAACCTTAGTTTCGACTTCACATTGACATTGCCAGCCTATAACTCTAGATACTCTGCAAGAAAATATGTTTTTTTTATTTGTTCCCATGTGCAGCAAGTGTTCAAAAGCTTCTGACGTGCCTTTGTACTTGTTAGTTGATGAGGAATCCAATATGGATTGTGCTAACCTCCAATATGTTATCGTATGTAAAATATGATTGTTATATAAGCGTGCCAAAGGGCCCATCCCAGGTTTACAAGGAAACAATTCCCGCCACCGCGAGTGACCACAGCATACCAGGGCCTAGATCGGCAGACCAAACGACCCAAGAGTTCCATTCTCCTTAGCAAGTGGCTGCCGTGAATGACAAGTGTTTTCTACTGTACCAATCCATGACGGGAATCAGCTGGTGATTTATACTGGGAAATACAAAAACAATATAAAACAATGATAATATAGGAAATGGGGTTGTCTCAAACTAGAACCACATGAAATCAGTACGCGTGCCCCTATTTTTTTCATTGCCCTCAGTCCATGTCGGAGTCCCATGTGTGGTTGCTGAGAGCCTCTCTGTCGGGGAGAAGGCCGCCAGCTCGCAGCTTCTCTGTCTTCCTGGTGATTCGGAGCAACCGGGAGATCCTGTCGCTCATCTTTTCGATCTCACCTTCGAGAGCCTCGAATCTGTCTCGGCACTGTCAGCTCCTGCATCTTTGCTTCGCCCTCCTCAGCAATCATCACCGCGCAGCCAAATCAGCATCCCGGAGGTTGGCCATTTCGGTGCTTTCCTGCACATGCTTCAAGGTCTGCAAGGAGACCTGGGTCCCATAGTGAAGTTTAGAGCGAAGCCCAAGGCCGCTCAAGCCGGGGGATATACTTCCCTGGGGCGATGCGGAGTACTTGCAGTTTGCAGTCTTTTTTTAACCAGGAACCAAGCAATCTCCAAAATGTCTAGGGTGCAGCTGCGTTCGCATACCGTGTGCTAAAAACTCCTCATTAAGTACACCATCTGTCGTCCCCTGTCTCCTTTTGCTGTCCCTCCTTTCCCATCCCATGTTCACTCCGGTTTGGAGCGTATTGGAAGAAGTTGACATGTAGGGTTATCCGGTTTCCAGGCTCCACATTATGACATGGGACTATCTGATAGCTAAAGATGTATCCGCAATTTTCATTATCACACTAGGTAAATACCCTGAGAACAAAAAACACCAATCAAAATGACGTATTTTAACACAACAACGCGTTCACCTTAAACTTGCTTGAGTGGTAAAAACACCCCATGATGGTGAAAAACAATGTTCCTGTTACTAGATGAACCTACCCAGGTGTGAGAGAAGCAATCAACAGTCACCAGCCGCAAGGCAACCAGGGGTCTCCACAGCAACCCCCAATCCAGGGTCTACTGTGGGGCATAGTTCCTGTGAACTAAGTGGATATCTTTCACGATAGCTATAAGGGCCCATACCCAAACTTATGGGCGCTTAGCTAACCATGCTGGAAAAGCCCATAGGAAGCCATTGAGAATCGCACCAGCCCTAAGCACATCGGTTAAGTCGTGGTTGGATAGTTGGTTACTCTCCATTCATGTTGGCTGACCCCCCGTGAAAAACCATCATAAATCTTTATTCTGGTTGGTGGTATACCTACCCCTCTGAAAAATGATGGAGTTCGTCAGTTGGGCTTATGAAATTCCCACCTGACTGGAAAGCCATAGAATTCCATGGTTCCAGTCACCACCAACCAGCTATTTCAATGGCTGAAAAAAAACATTCTGACAGCCGCCTTGCCATTTGCCACGTACAATTAACCGCCGTGGGTCCATCACATTTCAAGCAATCCCAGTTTTGTGGCAAATGCTGCGCAGCGCAGGTCATTGTCGTTTCGATCTGGCAGAAACCCAGGCAGGAACCCCTGGATCCAACAAAGAACCTGGGTTCTAACAACGATCCATGGCTGTGAACATGAAGCGCACCATTAAAAAACCAAAACATCTAAAAAGATGGTCATTGGTATCATCCCAACTAAGGCCTGAACATTCAACACGTGAAACCACAGGTGTTTAAAACCACCATGGAGTTTACTTAGGTTGAACAATCTCCAATGTCCGATGCTGAAAAAAACCCATGAGAAACGGGCCAGTAAGGTCAGTGACATTTTCCCATTGTTTCTAATGAACACGGCCAGCTGGAACATCCCCAAACTAAATGAAGGTTCCTAGTTGGGAACATCATCTATATAAATGATGGATTTTCCAGCCATGTTTAATTCCCGGAGGGTTCCACTTGATATATTTTATATGTTCATATCCACCATGCTGGCCATATCAATCGTTTTTGATGGCTCTTCACCACAAAGAAGAGCCCCGGCACCAAACACAGCACCCCGCGCTGCGCAAGCAGCGCTGTGCACCTCAATCTCTCTCCAAATGGCACCTTCGGGAAGAGTTGCCTGACCGGAGGGTGCCGAGGGCGAATATGATGTTGGTTTATCCACATAGCATGGGATACTATGGGATTCTTGATGGGAATATGGGATATATTTATCAACTTCAGATATGTGATATCGCAGATACAATGGGATATAGTTATCAACTTTATTGTTTTTTGACATGCCTGACATGGGAAGTATAAAGCACTGATAATGGGGATCATATCCAACGAAGATCCCAATTTCTTGGTTCAAGCCCCATACTCGCTGACATAAATAAAAAAAACGCCATTGCCCTCCGGTGTCATCAATCATGGCAATTGAAAATCCACCGTGAATGAAGGTTTTAAGGGGAATATCATCATGGATTCGCTTAAGGAACCACCAAAAAATAAAAGATATTCCCTTCATCGATTCCCCAAGTAGTGGATTTCCCATGGAGAGAAAAAAATATTCAGCGAATCCAAGTCATCTAATTATAAATGGAGGATTTTTCGGCAATCCATGTTTCATTGCCAAGCCGGGTAAATGCGATTTTCATATTCCAACGATCCAACCAATATTCATTGACTAATCTCTCTAAGAGTCAAAATTAATAAGGGTTGATTTAGTACATATACATATATATATATACATATTATATACTGGTCATATCTAATATCATCATCATGGCACAAAAAAAATAATAAAACCATGTTCCTCCGTGAAATTTACCCTTCCCATCTGTCGAAAAAAACAAGTTTCTTCCGTGATGAAAAATCACCATGTTCCCGCTGTGAAATCACCCTGGTTTCATGATGTTTGAATCCCCCAGGGCCCAACAACAACTGGTGCGTTGGAGCCGTAGGGAATTTTCGGGAATGATCCACTGGCTAACTACTGGTTGGTGGTTGAGCCAACCCCTCTGAAAAAAAATGATGGAGTGAAAGTCAGTTGGGGTTATGACATTCCCAACTGAATGGACAAATAAGATGACCCCAGCAACCCCCAGCAACCCATCCATTTCCTACGTTTGGAGCACCAGTAAGTCGATGTCATCTGGGACAATCCCCCTTGTTGAATCCAAATGATAGCTGAAATTGAGAGCGCCCCCGCTTGCCCGGCTTGCCCGGCTTGCCCGGCTTGCCCGGCTTGCCCCGCGTCCACTTGCTGTCAGGGCTCTGGGAAATTCGCCTGCCAACAGGCATCCATATCTGCGCGATACATGTCGTATTCCTGGAGCGGATTTCACCAGATGGAGGTGTCAGCCGAGACTTTAGCAATAGACATGTTGGGATTAAACAAGAATGAGATTATCAACGAGAGGATATGAGTCATATATGAGTGTTTGTTTCAGAAATTCTCATTTGAACTGGGCAAGCAATGGTTGTAAAAGAAGAAGTCATTGAACAGAAGAAGGAGATGCTTGAAGTTTGACAGCAAGCACAAGTATAAAGTCATTATTTGATGGTTTTTGTTAGTTTACAACATGTTACAATGGTGGACATACACTTAGACTTACTGGCGCGTTTTACGCAGATTCTATACCATCTCTATGGATCCCTAAAATGAACAAATCCAATACTAAACACGTATTAAAAATATTAGGGGGAAGGTAGAATTTTATATTATAGGCTATTCTATACTATATATGTGCAATGTGTATTTTATTATATGTATACATATATATATATGGGTTTAGAAGTGGTACTTTATATTTATATATTAGGAGGAAGGGATGAATTTTCGCCGGTAGGGAAGCTTCAAGTCCAGTGCTCGATTGCAGCCACGTGCAGAAAACATTCAATAGCACCTTCTAACAATTGGCTATTTAGTCTCGAATGCCTAGTTTCTTGGTTTCCAAATATACCCTACATATGGGAATACTGGGTGTTGAGGGCTTCAGAATGTAGGTCGCTAAAGAAGGCCCAAGTCACTATCCCAATATAAAGCAGTCACAACTAGCAAAGCCAGAGACGTATGTTGTAATGATTCATTTTTGATAAACTAAAATTTGTCTTAAACCACAATTGGTTGATTTGATCATAATGCCCCGCAGTTGTTGGCAATTTCTTTCCTGTAAAATGATCCAGTTCGTATTGCTTCAATCCCCAATTTTGGCAATGTCATCAGTAAACACACAAAATCCATTGGCAAAACAAACAGTTTTGCTGTTGAGAATCACTTTTGCGAGCGAACATGCAATTTTGCTGCTTAAATCACATGTTTTTTTACATATTTTGCATGTTGTTTACTGGGCCTATTTCACTGGCCAAATCACCGCATTTTTCGAAGCTATTGCCCAAGGCACCATGTGGCACGCGTCCGAACGCGAGACGCCCGTGTCATCCGGCTCCCAGCAGAAGCCGCGGACGCCTTCCTGGTCGTTAGATTCATGAGGGTTTATGGCAGATGTGTGTATATATATATACATATACCTTGGTGATTCATATAATGCATATATATATATATATTTAAATGTATAAGGATATTGATATATATATATATAAATATTGTTAATCATACAGGGTTAATATATTAACATGGCAAATGTATATATACGGTGTTAGATTCCATAAATACATATACATTATAATATGGTGACAACCATTGTTAGGTGATGTTAACCAATGCTATAATGATTATACACTGGTATAAAGTTGGTAAGTTAGTAAGACTACTGTATGAGTTGATAATCATTATCATTAATCTGGTATAGCGATTAGTGTCCTGGTACCCTGTTGTGTTTTTTTCCTAAATAAATCAGTATCCTGCCAGTTGTGGGGGGCGGGCCTCTATCGCGATTTGTTTATTCTTAGGTCCATTTTCTTCAGGAGAAGCTTTATCCACCTTTATACACCTTTCTTTGGGTAAAGCTGGCCCATTTACTTTAGAAAGCCATATGCATTGTAAATCCTTAAAATGCAAGGTTCCCCAAATAGTTAGATGCCTGATTAAACCCTTATTAAAAACAGCAGCCAAGCAATTTTTCAAGGGGGTACCCCATGAGTGGCCCAGATCATCAATAATATAATTGTTTGGATGGTACCCTGTTGTGCACACAAACTTTTGGGGGTGAAATAGAACACACAAAACCCTTTATCCACCTTTCTTTGGGTCGAGCTGGTCCATTTACTTTAGAAAACCATATGCATTGTAAATCCTTAAAATGCAATTTCCCCAAATAGTCAAATGCCTTATTAAACCATGCAGCCAAACAATTTTTCAATTGGGTGCCCCGTGGGTGTCAGATCCTCAATAATATAATTGTTTGGATGGTACCCTATTGTGCACACAAACTTTTGGGGGTAAAATAAAACACACAAAACCCTTTATCCACCTTTTTTTGGGTAAAGCTGGACCGAGCAAAAACATGCTGCTCTACCAAATCCGTGGGAGGAACATGGAGAAAATACTCAGAATGAACCTGCGGCACATTCCATCCCAACGCAAGGTTTGGCACATTGAGTGCTGACAGGTGGTTGGAGGACTGTGTACAGCGACGTGAACTGCCAATCTGGATCGGACACTGTCGACATGTCGTCCTCTGAACTATATTCATCATCATCATCATGAGGATTGTCTTCTTGTTGGGCGACACCAGGGAGACCACTCAGAGATGGCACTGGTGATGGTTTCTGGCGGTGATTCACTCCAACGGCCATGAAACTGGCTGGTTGAGAATGGGATTCCAATTTGCTCATGGAGCGTGATAATCCTCAATATAGGTGACAGTAGCATGATCCCCGAACTAATCATCATCTAACAATTTAAGACTGCTATATTTTTGGTTAAAGCATGTTAAAACCATTTTTACAATGTGGGGCCCCCCAGTTATAAGTTGGTTTAGATTCGCCCGGGTAACTAATTCGTTTTGCGTACCATAAACCATAGTAAAATTGGAGTTATGTGCACCAACTGAACGCTATCGAACGGGGGCCTCACATAGTATACATATGTATATATAATTAATCTCTATATTCGATTGGTTTAATAACCAAATTTACACATTTTCTGGACACCACCCTGTAGCTTTATCTGACCATGGGAAAACACCATTTTTAGTGATGTTTCAATCCGCATTAGAAATGACTCATCACTCCAATGTTATGGACCTGGTTCAAAGTCCGGCCATGGCCCCGGTTTCTGTTAGTTAAATTGGTGCAAGTGACTGGGTTAACGTTTGGGCTTATGGTAAACAGATGTAAATAGGACATCTGTTCTGGGGTGAAACTAAACCAACTTACAACTGGGGGGCACCACATTGTGTATATATATATAGATATAATTTATCAAAGTCGTGAAACTTACCGTAATTATATGGTTTACCCACTTAATTTACCAAAAAAACATGACAGTTTCTCTGCCCCGGCCACGCCCCGAATGGTGTCCGCTCCTGGCACATTCGGAGAGATTCTTCGCACAAGATCCTCAGCGTTAACCGTCACTTGGGATCGCCATAAGCAGTTGGTCGTGACAGTATTGAACCAAGGTAACCATGGATTTTTAGCAGGTCATTTTTGGCCATGGCAAACACACCAAAAAAAACGGTTTATCCTTAACACATCATCCGGTCCATTTTTTTGTCATGTGTGAAACTGAAATGTTTTCTCATGTTTTGATCTAAAGTTTGTTTTCAATGACACCAAGTGACTTCAGCCAAATCAAACAAAACCAGCAGCTTGCGTTCAATATCAAATGGAATCCCTGATGTTGAGGGTAAACGGTGAACGGCAATGGTGGTATATGGGAATAGCTCTCAAATTATCGGAGGAAGTTTGGAAGTCAATCTTCCGACAATGTGGACAGATGAAAAGCAGAGATGGGAAGATTCAGAGAAGAGAAGAAGAAAGAGAAAGTCTCAGAAGAAAGAAGATCCAGGTGCGCAAAAAGGTAGGAAAGTCGCGAAACACTGCGTTTTTCCAATGATTTGTGGCTCAGGAGGGTCCAAAAGTAGGCTCGCTAAAGCGGCGGGTGCGGAGCCATCTGGCCAAGTGAGAGAGGAAAAAGTGCACGCCGTTGTGGCGCGAAGCACATTTCCAAGTCAAAATGCACACCATGGTCGGACCACTTTTGGAAGTTGAGATGTCGAAAAAGTGCACGCCATTGTGGCGCGAAGCACATTTCGAAGTCAAAATGTTAAAAACACCACATGTTCGGACCACTTTTGGAAGTTGAGATGTCGAAAGAGTGCACGCCGTTGTGGCGCGAAGCACATTTCGAAGTCAAAATGTTAAAAACACCAGGGGTTCGGAACACCTTTGGAGGTTCAGATGTCGATTCGCGTGGCAGGCGCAAGGGATTGTGCACCTTGTCAAAAGTGAGCAAAACGTGAAGGTTTTGTAGCATTTTCAACTACAACCACCACTACACCACACTGCACTCCAATACACTACACTACAGCTACACTACACTCCACTACACTCCACTACACTACACTACACTCAATTACACTCAATTACATTCAATTACACTACACTACACTACATTACGCTACACTCCACTACACTACACTACCTTCCACTACACTACACTACCTTCCACTACACTACACTACACTACACTACACTACACTACACTACACTACACTACACTACACCCCACTCCACTACAACTACAACTACAACTACAACTACACAACCACACTCCACTACACTCCACTACACTAATTACACTACACTACATTACACTACACTACACTACATTCCACTACACTCCACTACACTACACTAAATTCCACTACACTACACTACACTACACTACACTACACTACATTCCACTACACTACACTACACTACACTAACTACAACTACAACTACAACTACAACTACAACTACAACTACAATACTACCTTTACACTACGCTACACTACACTACACTAATTACACTACACTACACTAGACTCCACTACACTACACTACACTGAATGACACTGCACCACAGATAGCCAGGGAGACAGATAGACAGATAGATCGATAGATAGACAGATAAACAGATAGACAGGTAGACAGATAGACAGATAGACAGATAGACAGATAGACAGATAGACAGACAGACAGACAAACAGACAGATAGATAGATAGACAGATAGACAGATAGACAGACAGACAGGTAGACAGATTGACAGATAGATAGATAGATAGACAGAAAGACAGATAGACAGGTAGACAGCTAGACAGCTAGACAAATGAAAGAGAGAGAGAGAGAGAGAGATAGAGAGAGAGACAGAGATAGATAGATTGATAGATAGATAGTTAGATAGTTAGATAGTTAGATAGATAAGAAAGATAGATAGATAGATAGATAGATAGATGGAAAGATAGACAGAAAGATAGATAGATAGATAGATAGATAGCTAGGTAGGTAGGTAGGTAGATAGTCAGAGAAAGAGTGAGAGAGATCAATCACCTTTCGATCCATCAGTGGCTTCGCTGTGCCATCCCTGATTCACAACAACCAATCTCTCCTATAGGTTTCCTATTTTTGAAACTTCCGCCACCGCCTTGCGCGGTACTACTGGTAGTACATTATAGTACCACGTAGCCCGCGAAATAGCAATTTTTTGCAAGTCACACATGGAACAAATCAAGGCCCTGACTGAACACATACTCGCTGGGTTCTACTGGATTTGGTATCTAGTGTGATATGGCCTCAACCTGCCACGGCATGAGCATTTTCCCGCAACAGGAGGCTGGCTCAATCTGAAAACAATCACCAACCTGATTAACGGTGATCTTGAGGTGCTTCCACTAGCCATCGTTTACACTGACCCCGCTAGAATTCTGCCAAGTGGACAAATTGCTGCTACAATTCATCAAATGGGGATGGATTAAAACCCTGTACCCCTAGTGAACATCAAAATAGCTGGGAAATCTCATGGCCAAATAGGATCTCTGGTAAACTAACAGTTTGCTATTGAAAATGGCTATTTGTAGTTCATTTTCCCATTAAAAAATTGTGATTTTCCATGGTTTGTTGTATGTTTACCAGAGGGTATGCATCCAATTCTTGACCCACGACCAGTCATTCATTTTGTACCAAGTGAGCAGCCATCATCTCGTAGCCGTATATGATCAGATAGGGATGCATATTTTGATCATAGTTCCCTGGATCCAAAGGTAGAAGGTTTTGCTGCTTAGCTGAGAATATAGTTAGACATAGACTATATCTGTTGACATGTGCTGACCCAAATACATTCCAAAAAATATAAGAATCACCCTGATCTGCTGGCAAAATGGATCAACATGGCACATTTTTAACTGGACGCATGATGATAAACCAGGATAAACCTTGGCATCCAACGGAGCTCTTCTCATCATTTTTTTCAGACGAAACCAAGTGACGAACAGGAGTAGCCGAACTCTGGTGCCCACCGCCAGTTGCATGACGAATCAGCGGAGTCACCATAGCCTGATGACGCGGGAACAATTGTAGGCTGGTGTTTTTTTATTCGACAGATATAAGCAGGATGATAAGCTATGATAAACATGGAAAATCGGTTCTGACATGTTTTGACCATGAGAAATTGAGATTTCATCTGACCTGTGTTTCATCAAAAACGCTCAAAGGGGCCGATATGACCTATCCCTAGGCCCTAGACTGGGGCCCTCGTGGGGTAAGTTGGTTATTTACACTAATTAGTCTAACTAGTATCATTTTCCTAAAACACAAATTAACAACATGGCGGAACTCATCCTATACTATGATCATACTATATATTGATAGGATAACCCATTGTATTAAGCCTATAACTATTGTATCATATTATAGCCTAACTATCCCCGTTGTATTCCCAAAACTCGTCGAACTCGTCTTCTCCGACAGAGCCAATCTCCACTGAAACACTGGTGAGAAACCCCGCACGAAAGACGGCGTCAAGAAGCCCACAGGGTGGTGCCCCAGTTCGGAATCGCTAAGTTAGTGCAAATAAGTCCAATAACTATAGTTTATAGGTGCTATATATATATATATATATAGTCATATATATATAGTCATATATATATATATATGTATAGTTAATGGGATTCTGACCCATTTATGGGGAGGATGGGGTTTGACTTGGTGGTTTGTTGATGCGAAAAGTCTAGCATTAAGCGGCTTAAGTGGAAATACAAAAAACCGATTCATCATTCAACCCTCCAAAACCATGTTAAACATCAAATCTGAAACTGATTCATGCGGTCCCGAATAAACATGAATAAACCATCCCATTCACTTACCATGGCATCATTCATGGCCTGGGGGTCATTAAAAACATGATCCCATGATTTTTTAAGGGGCATCCCCAATTTCATAAAACCCAAGTCGGGATGGTATTTCCATGGCATGGGATGAATCCAGTCGATGAATCTGCGAATCGACTCGCAGCCCCGACTCGCAGCCCTGTGAATCAATGTGTGCCAATCTTTGATGTAGAAACAAGAATATATGATAAAATCGGTTTCCCCATGGATAGCTCAAAACTCCATAAAATATCAAAAAAAACCTATCCAACCAATGTCTACCCAGATATTCTTGGCACTTCCCAAACCTGAAATCAAACATCTTTGGGATTGTTGCTCCAATGCTAAACTATCATGGTCAGTTCACCCAGTGACGAGGAAACAATTTGCCCAGAATGGATTATTGTCCCGCAAGATGGGTAACTTGGTCCAATAACTCAGCTTTATGGGCGATATATAATAATAAGAACAATAAAAATACTACTAGCAATAATGATAATGATAATAATAATGATAATAAAAATAATATATATATACGGGTAAATTATAATATTTCACTAACCTGAATTAAGGCTATTTGGGAATGATTATGATGATTCCCCTTATCAACCATGATTCCAGTGAGGTCGGAGTGAGGCCGTTATAATTTATCAAGATATATATTTATATCTACACAACACAGTTGAACGGTTCAATGAAACCAACAAACAGAACTGAAAGGCCCACTTTGTGGCTGTACCCAAATATCCCACCAGATTCTCATCATACTAGCAAATCGCGAGTTGAATGTCGATTTATGGAAATGATATAATTAGAATATATAGACTGTAGACATGAATATGCATAAATCACAATGGTTCCATAGTAAATTTGACCAACAATTTTTTTTCTTTCCAAGGAACCTTGTAAGTAAACCATTGAGTCGCAATGATTATCTTGGCCGCCAGGCCGAAGTTGGTCAATTTTACAAATCGTCTTTCGTCTGATTGTAAGTCAGGAACCACTAGATCCATTATTCCATTGAAAGTACAATTAATTCCATGTTTCTAGTACAGTAAAGATGGATTCCATTTTTCTAGTACAGTAAAGATGGGTTCCATTTTTCTAGTACAGTGAAGATGGGTTCCATTTTTCTAGTACAGTAAAGATGGGCTCCATTTTTCTAGTACAGTAAAGATGGGTTCCATTTTTCTAGTACAGTAAAGATGGGTTCCATTTTTCTAGTACAGTAAAGATGGGTTTCATTTTCTAGTACAGTAAAGATGGGTTCCATTTTTCTAGTACAGTAAAGATGGGTTCCATTTTTCTAGTACAGTAAAGATGGATTCCATTTTTCTAGTACAGTTAAAGATGGGTTCCATTTTTCTAGTACAGTAAAGATGGGTTCCATTTTTCTAGTACAGTAAAGATGGGTTCCATTTTTCTAGTACAGTAAAGATGGGTTCCATTTTTCTAGTACAGTAAAGATGGGTTCCATTTTTCTAGTACAGTAAAGATGGGTTCCATTTTTCCAGTACAGTAAAGATGGGTTCCATTTTTCTAGTACAGTAAAGATGGGTTCCATTTTTCTAGTACAGTAAAGATGGGTCAATTTTACTTACCAACAGTTCTAGAAAAAATTGGGCCATAGATTTCCAAGGAACATTGTAAGTAGCCCCCCCAGTTATAAATGGGTTATAATATGTTATAATCCCATTAACTAGTTCGATATATCACCTATAAACCATAGTTGTCGGACTTATAAACCAACTTAGCTAACGAACTGGGGCACCACCCTGCACGTAAAATTGGCCCATTTCCCCTTTGAAACCAAGGAACAGGGCGAACTTGGATTGCACTGTGCTGATGTGTCACAGCCAGCGCAGGATCTGCGACATGAGTTGGAAGATCGCTGTTATGAAAAGGTATTAATTGCTATGGAAAATATGGCTTATTTATAGATGAATTATAGATGACTTATGAATTATAGATGAACTTATGATTAATTATAGATGAATTATGTTCTGTTCAGGGTCTATGTTAACATGGGGGATGGCACGGAAACAGCGCAGCGTTGGGAAACTAAGATGTTTGTGCATAAATCATCATAAACCAAGGTCTTACCAGTGTTGGGGCAATCGGAAGCTGCAACTTCTCTATATAGGTGTCTGCATGGTGTCTGCCTTAATTTGTATATGGCAAAACATTGGTGTGTCTTTTTTTCTTGCCTCCTGGGTGGTCGTATTCCCAACCTAGTTCAACCTACTTATCGTAGTTGTAACCCCGGTGATACTAAAAAATGTTTCTGTGTATACCTGGTGGGGGCCCATCATCGCATTTTTATTGAGCGGTTTCAACAAATGAAATTTGATCAAAATAACATAGCTGGGTTATATTCGTGGCTGTGGACCAGTTTTAAACACCATGTTTGGACAAACCTAGTTCCTGATTAGGAATCATCCTCCCATACTAACATCAAAATTGCCTTACCATCCCATTTATATCATATTGTCATACCTGAATGGTGGGCCCCCCGACTTATGTTTGCTATAGATACCAGTGAATCTAATGTGTATATATATATATTGAACAACTTAAATATTGTTTTGGGGCCCTTGCTGTACCATTGGATTTCCAATGATAACTTAGCGGTGATGCGGTGCCCCCAGACAATAGGTGCTCGATGATGTCAATGGGAGATCTCCAGGATCCAATACATGGAGGTACGTTAGTACCGTATGTCAGGCCATATGTTGTGGGGATATTCCCTGTAATTTAGGCCTGAAAAATAGGCCTTATATATGATAGGTACCTCCAATTTAGGTTCCTGAAATGGCCATTGATGATGTATAAACTGATATGAGCGGCATACAGATTGGATATACCTACAGTTGGATAGATACAACTTCACGAATAAACATGACTGGGGGGGGCACTTTGGTCCTTGGAGATTATCGCACTCAGTAACTGGTTAGTCATCATAGCTATAACGTCCGATGTCCATTAACGGGGTCTACCATCACCAGGTGATCAACCAGTCGCGTTCCGGACTTTTGACTTTTGCCTAGTCATATGATACTCCAGTTCGATTACTCGGATATACCCCTGTCATGGCTTATGATCACCACCCCTGCTAAACCTTTGAGTGCTTCATATCTATCCTCAATGTCTGGTTGATTTGGATTTGCTTAAGGAACCCTCAAATCAAATATACCCCCTATCGATTTCACATGTCTGGTTTTTTTCCCATCGGGAAAAGAAGAACACACCCTATAAACACAACAAATTATAAGTTCTGGGGTAGCCAGATATTATTTTACAATATTTTACTATGGTATTATTTTACTAGATCTTCCTAATGTCAGTGTGTTTGTGATTTATAACATTTTAAAACTATCCTCAATGATGATAATATAATATAATATAATATACCACTTTCCCATTCATATCCGAATCCTACTGTATACTATTGATATTCCCATTGAGATCCAAATTTTGTATCCCATTTTCTAGCTTTCCATCCTAACCAAATCAGAAATTCTACTGAGATAAAATATGAAAAACCCATCATGAAAAACCAGCATTTTCCTCAAAGAAATGACTGAAATGACCAAGTACTTTTTGATGTGGGGCCCTCCTTTACGATAGTTACGTTTGTTGGTTTATAAAGCCCACCCATGACGGATCCATGGTGCTGGTATATATGTATATATGCTAACATGACTGGGGTACATTGATGGGATCCATGTTACCATATATAGCAGCACCATGGATCCTATGGGCCATGAATATTTGTTGGTTGATAAACCCCATGAATACTAGTTCGAAAAAATCACTTATATCCACCACAAGCCATAGAATTCACCACGTGAACTGTGCACCAACTTAGCGATTTCATTTACGGGGGCTCCACATTGTATAATTTACCCAAAAGCCATGACAGTTATAAATGCATTATAATTCCATTAACTAGTTTCATCTATCTCCAACAAAAACCATAGTGAAATAAGACTTAAATTTCACTATGGTTTTTGTTGGTGATATTTATATATAGGTGATCTATCTATAGTTAAGTCCAATAAACCAACTTAGCTAACGAACGACCCCACCCTTTTTTTGGGCCACTTCCATGGCGCCGGTTTGTTGCGGTACCCGAACGCCTGTAGGCTTCGTCCCGGCTGCCGAAGATCACATCGCAGGCGCCCTTGCTGCAACCATCCTGGCAGATCTGGCAGCTGGGGATGGTGATGATGGGGATCCTTGGCGAAAAATTGTGATTTATAGTGAGTTTTCCCATTAAAAATGGTGGATCTTTCCATAGTTTTTGCATGTTTACCAGAGGGTATGTGAAACGAAATGGGAACAATCATGTGAAACTATCCCATGACGGATCCATGGTGCTGGTATATATGCTAACATGACTGGGGTATATTGATGGGATCCATGTTACCATATATAGCAGCACCATGGATCCTATGGGTATGGGAAACATATAGGAAACAAATGGGACAATCTGATGTACAGAAACAAGCGTGAAACGAAAAGGAAAAAAACATGTGAAGATTTCTGAACATATGGAAACTATATGGGAAAATATATAGGAAACAGATGGGAAACATATGCCAAAAAGAAATGAACATATGGAAAACTATATGGACAAAACATAACCTGAAACCAAGGTTTTTACCAAGCAAAACAGGTGTTCTGCGATTGTTCAGACCCTTCAAGTCCAAGAGATGAAGAGTGAAACTTCCGCAGACCTACAGTCATCAGGATTACACTCCAGTAATCAAACGTGGCTTTCCAGCTATAAACCAGTACTCAGTACCCTCTGTTTATGTCAAATTGCCATTTATAGTTGATTTACCAATTAAACATGGTGATTTTCCAGTTCGCAAACTGTTAGTTTACATAAACCTCCAATTTACCGGGGTTCCAAAGCCACGTTTGATTATCGCATAGTATTGTCAAGTTCAAATTCGTGGATCCGATGGACCTCAAAAACCAGTTGGATCCCTCGAGATATTCCTGCGTATTCTGGTTGTGTTTCGCATTTTGCTTGAGAAAATCCACCAGTTGATCTGGCTTTGCCCACAGGCTAGCACCAAATCTCATGATATCCGCTGGTCTAGTGTTTTTTATCTTTCAAAATCCAATTGTTTTTTCTATTTGCTTACCCTCTGGTAGTTCTAGGATTTTGTTCACTATTAGTGAACTGGAAGATCACATGAAACCCAAATCCAAAATTTTGCTTAGCCTCTGGTAATTTCTGTGAACTTAGTGAACTGGAAAATCACCATGTTGATTAGGTAAAGCCATGGTTTTTTCAGAAACCCTCCAGAAATCGGCCATGGTTTCCATAACTTCCATCGCGGCCGCGCACCTCGCAATGGATAAAGTTACATTCTCGGCACCTGATCCGAAAAAGTCACAGCTTTGATCCAAGGAAAGGCTGGAAAATGCTTGGAAAAAACGTTGAGGAATTTCGACTGCACCTACTTCATGGCAATTTCTGATCTAAAGGTGGTGCCTCCTAAGTCTATTTTTTTTTTGTTGGTTGATATCACCCCATGAAATTACCCTCTGGTTATGTCAAAATAGCTATTGAAAATGGCCATTTATAGTGAGTTTTCCCATGAAAAGGTGATTTTCCATAGTTTTTTTGTATGTTTACGAGGGTATATCCGGCATAAACCCAACACTGAACCGATGTTTCATAAAAAATGTGGCCAAGTACGGGGGCACCAGCTTATCGGGAAAATCGGTTGATGAACCGGTTGGTTGGTCCATTGCAACTGGGTTTCCCACTGAAAACCACAACGGAATCCGTGTAATATGCAGAAATTTGGGGATGATTTCCCCTACAATGTGGCCCCCCCCAGTTATGTTTGTTGGTTTAGATTCGCCCCAGTAACTATAGTTATAAGTACCATAAAACATATAGTTATTGGAGTTGTGTGCACCAACTTAGCTTTCGAACGGGGGCCTCACATTGTAGCCATCATCGAATTGGCGAATTCAAATGGCCACGGTTCGATGTTTCACCCACTGGGCTGTGCGTTATGGCGTTTCCCCAAATCATCCGAGTCATGAACGACCATGACTTAGCATTGAAAGAAACGGTGACTTGGGGATCCCAAAATTTGAGAACCCCCCAATATGTTGATTTAAGTTTTGTTTTTGAATGCCTATACTTTCCTTTCCTGATTCGCATTCCTGCTAATCTGTGCTGGAAAAATGGGTTAAGGCTTGTTGCGTTTTGCATCGTGTTGCCGGGCACGAGTCCAATTCGACTCCTGAAATTTGACCGTTTACGAAACAGTCCAAAACGCCCACGTACTCCCTGGATCTTAAGGACCTAAAATTGATGGCCATATCTCACCATATCCATGTTCATCCCAATATTGCTTGGTCAAATCCCATTTTTAAATGGGCCCGGCCAAAAAAATGGTTTAAAACCCTCCACATCGCTTTACCCAGATTATCCTGATCCCAGGGGCCCCATATCAACCATGAATCGTGGACCTATAGAGTTCTAGTCTGAAGCTCAGAAACTGATTCATGGCGATGGTCAGATCGTTGCATTCTGACAACGATCCTCCGGCGATCTGGCATTCGGAAAAGGCCTGGCGTTCGGACAGACGACAACCGACCAACAACCAAGATCCGGCCGTCGCTTTGGGATCCTTGGGGATCCTGAACAGGGTGGTGCCCCAGTGAGCTAAATCGCTAAGTTGGTGCAAATAAGTCTATTTTCACTATGGTTTTTGTTGGTGATATACCGAACTAGTTTTCATGGGATTATAACCCATTTATAACTGGGGGGCACCATCTTGTTGGGGATATCTGAAAAAAAACATGGGAAAAGTTACCAACCTGGGTATCTTCAACACAAAACCATGGAAGGTCAAGGAGTATCGATGAGAACGGGATGTCCATCTCCGGATGGTTAGTTCACCCCGGCTGAACTGTTAAACATGGATTCACTTCACTCTCACTAGCAATACTTCAGGGATAACCTATTTACTAAATGGAATGAACCACCAAATATGATCAAATATGACCTATGTATTAAAAAAACATATTCCTATCTACCATTCCTCTTATTCATATCTTATATTTATTAAATGTATATCAGAAAAAGAGGAATATTAATTATATTTCGTTTTTGGATATCTCTAGCCATCCTCTCTGGAGATATGATTATAATGGATTCTTCAAAACCAAATCACTAGTAGATGGGATAGTTAATGACATACAGGATAATTTATTGTTTTATAAAAAATGGGAAGATATAGTGATTTATCTTATCTGTATGGTTTTATCACTATGAATATGTTCTAAGACAAGTTAATTTATCTACTTCAGGATGATTAGAACAAGATACATATAGATATAAACATATATATATATAAATAATCATGTATGTATATATATATATAGTTGAGATTTAGACATATACGTAAACAATTCTACAAGTAAGTTGTGAATATTGATCGTCCAATTAGAGAAACCCCGGCTGACCTGTCTGCCTCTTTGAGACTGGGGGAGAACATCATTATACAACATACATCTTGGAAACATGTTCTAGTTGGTATAGTATACCAGAACATTATCATATTTTTTTGAGATACCATCATTATACATTATACTATACGATTATATGTTTTTTGGGATTTGCTATATTTCCTCATCTGGAGACCTTCGGGGTCTTCCGTTTTCAACTCATCAATTCATTCAATTCTTCCAATATGAAATACCATTATTCCAAAATTATCCCCGCTGCTCAGCTGTTGAGGCTATAATCCAGGCCCCCCCAAAAAAGGCTTCCCCGTGACTGACTTTGGAAAACCCCATTGGTTCGTATCATTTCAAAACTACAGTATATCAAATATATCCGATTTATTACCATCATAAAATATCCAATTCCACATATGATATTAACCATATTTTGGTTGATATTTAGGTCCCAAGCTATGTCATTTAATGGTTCAGTCACCTGTATTTTAACTATTGGTAGTATAACCAACATACAAAATAATAATCGACCGAGCATCATTTTCCACTTGTATCGAAATAATTTGTTGTGGTTAAATTCCCCTACAATTCAAATACACCTTTAATTTTTATATAATCCTCATTGAATCAAAAATCAAAGCGTTCTTTTGAAATCACAATATTGGTTGTATATCCCGGTATGTTCCCGCATATACCAACAACATCTGCATGAATTACAAATCATAATCCATAGGCCCCAACACAGCACCTACAATAAGGCCATTGGGGGATGATTTACCTTACCATCATTGCCAGTGACGTCGCATTGAGGTCGTTATATGTCGTTATAATTTATCCAAACATTGTAAACATATTATTCCAATTGTTGTTGCCAAACATTTATACTGGAATATCCCAGTCGACATCTCACAACACACCGTTATTAGTTCAAATAATAATGACTTCCCATTGATTACATGGAACTAATAAAATCGGATTCATCATGGGATCAATTCGAATCATTGCGATGTCTGACCGTTCCTCCCATTGAAAAAAATGTTACCCTCTGGTAATTTAACATAGCTATGGAAAATCACCATTTTAAATGGGTAAATCCACTATAAATGGCCATTTTCAATAGCTACTTTGACATAACCAGAGGGTAACCCCACCGCTTCGTTCACCGCTTAACTGCGCGAATCGCGACCCATAAGTCGTCGCACCTGATCGCACACCTCCCAAACGCACTCCCTTGCGCATGCTTGGGATTCGGTTGACTGAGTGAGGACGTTCCACCTGGCGCGGATGAAATGACTCGTCGCTCGAAAAATCTCAATGGGATTGTTGCTCAAATCTGGGAAAATATGATCAAATAGTTACATAGTTATATACCAAGTCAAAAAATGGCGAAATCAAAGCCTTAAGCTGTTTGAATATTTTGAAGCCAAATTGTAAATGTTCTAATGTATTCTAGGTTCCTTTTCAATGCTGAAATAATCAAACAATTTCACATGGCCCATCACTTTCATATGACATCCGCTCAGGCAATTGTTCTTCACAAAGCCCTTACAGGATGTTGCTTCCCAGTTATAATTTGGTTTACAACCCCATCTAAATATAATTAGTATCATACACTATTGTTATCATAGTTATTTGCACCAACTTTCTAGTTATCTAGAAAATTATCTATAGTTATATATACAGTTATACCATGTTATACCTACAACAAAGCATAGTTAAAGACCTGGGGCCTCCACAATTCCCGATTTTTTTTTCCACACCTGCATTGCTCCACACTCAGCTCTTCAGCGCATTGCAACTCCCGCGAGGCACGGTCTAAGGGATCGAAGGGATTGGCGCTTCCAAAAATCACCATGAAATCTCGGGGAATTATACTTGGTATAATCAGTGCCTGTCCAAGAAGCTTTGGGCAAAGATATTTGTTTGGTGAATTGTGTCTTTTGCGATTCCCCAAAGAAACGCGTTTTTTTGTGGGAGTGTTGCCCCCTTTCATTTATAGCAATCCCCTGGGGAAAACATGGAGATTTTGGCGGGTTTTGCTGCCTCTGCAGACTACAGTCACTACAAGGTGGTGCCCCGGTGGACCAAATCGATAAGTTGACGCACATATTAATTTCTGGTTGGTGCTTGGTGGCTCATCCCACGGCTCGTAAGTGGGTTAGTTCACCCCAGTTTTTTGAGTTGATTAACTCTATTTATCCCATTTATAACTGGGGTTATAACCCACTTACTAAGTGGGGTGATCCATCAAGTAGGATGTTTTTTGGATCAAGATTGCTATCTGGTTGGTGGTTTTGAGCTACCTACCCCTCTCAAAAATGATGGAGTTCATCAGTTGGGATTATGAAATTCCCAACTGTTTCTGGAAAGTCATGAAAAAATCCATGGTTCCAGTCACCACCTACCAGCTATTGTTTGAATAAGTACTGTTCATACATGTTCGAAAAAAGATCGTATTCCCTACTTAAAGGTGCAGAATTTGGTCTATGTTAATTTACTGGAGGCTATATGTTAAGGAAAAGAGGGGAGTTCATTGGCAAAAAGGTGATCAAATGCGAGTATGAGGAACAAAGGTGTGCATTTCTCCACGAAATGTGGCTTCAAGAAATATATATATATATTTAATTATAAGAATTGCATGGTGCAGATGAACCGCGAGAATGGTGATTAGACCATGTAAATCCCTTAAACATAGCATATAATCTTACATAAATTCCAGAAACATTGATAGGGATTTTCCTATTGGATTATTATAATTCCATATGATTCCAAATGTATTTGGTAGTATAATCCCCTATAATCATCAACCAACCAGGGTTTTGAACACTGCTCAATTCCTTGAAACAGATCAAAAATATCAATGGCCATTCCAGGAACCCAAATTGGAGGGATGGAGGAACCGGAATCATAGATAGAGGATGATAGAGGACATTCCGTTGTCAAAGACCAGGAGAATTAATCCATACGGTCACTGGCTCAATGGTCAAAGAGTAGCAAACTCTTCTGCGAACATGTCCAAAGGATCCCTTGCAAGGAATTTCCTGGTTAATGCCACCATCGCATCAACTCGGGATGCTAACAAAAAGTCGCTTTCTGCCCAAGTAGGCAAATTGCTGGCAGCAGCAACATGCCTCAAGTTGTGCCTGATAAAACATCAGGATGCCAGAAGACGCCACCAAGGAAGCGACATCGACCGTGCGGCTGCTGGCACCATGGACAAGAGACTTGCGTCAGCAATGTATAACCCCTGAAAAAAATGAGTTTGAATGTCAGTTGGGATGATGACATTCCCAACTGAATGGAAAGTCATTAAAAATTCCATGATTCCAAACCACCAACCAGTAGTATAGCCAAGGATAATTTGGGTGTATAATCCCGGAACTAATCATCAATCAATGGCCATTTCAGGAATCGATTGATTGGAGGTACCTACCATATATGTTTGGCCTATTTTTCAGGCCTAAATTTCAGGGAATATCCCCACAAAATATGGCCTGACATATGGTACGTTTACGTACCTCCATGTATTGGATCCTGGAATTCCCATTGATGTAACTAAGTAGACATAAAATAATCTATCACTATTTCATCCCCTTCCTTTTTTTCGGCCAAAAATATATGGAATCGGTACCTCCAATCAATCGGTCCCTGTTGCATGGCCATTGATATAATCCCGGAACTAACATGTATATATGTAGATGATTGTAGATGATTATAAACAGTATATATGGCTATAATCTATGGCCTGACATATGGTATTTTAAAACGTACCTCCATGTATTGGATCCTCCAGAGGGGTAGGTAGGTATACCACCAACCAGTATACCATATTATACCATTAATTATACCCATACGTTTGTTATAATCTACCATTATACCCAACAGTATTATACCATATTATACCCAACTGTTGGTATTATACCATTATACCATAGGGGACCATATGGTATAATCTACCATATACCATACAGTTATGGCAAACTAATCATCAACCAACAGTTTTTTCTACCCCTATGGTCCCCTATGGTTTCACCTCACCGTGTCAACGAGGTTACCGAGGTCACCGAGCGGCTACTCCACCAACCATCGCAACCGGCGCAGCCCACGTCCTTGAAGATGTGATCCACCTCACCGGAACCAACAGCAGTGAAGCAACAGGGATTCATCCTGCATAAATATGGGATATACCTGATATGCCTTGAACAATTGGGATATATATATATATATTGTATATATGGTCAGTGGGGTTTATAAACCAACACTTATAATAATCTGGGTAAATTTTGAGAATTTACTACCCTGAATTATGGCCATTTGGGGATGTTTCCACTTACTTAACCACAATTCCAGTGACGTCACAGTGAGGTGTCACTATAACTCATCCAGATTCATCCAAGAAACATGTTGATATAGTGGGTATATAACTTATTAACATGGGATTAATCTGGATATATACCGCAACAAATGATGGATCCACAAGGATTTCTGGGATATCAATGGAAATAGAATGGGACCATCGTGTGAGAATATAACCAAGAAGCACGGGATTAATTAGTTTTGAACCATGATAAAAATATGATTTTAGCTTCAGTTCATAGCCTTCTGAAAATCTTCATAGCCTCGGCCTTTCCCTCAATTGAATATATGGTATAGATGGCCCAGTTGTGGTTGATTTACCCGGAAACCATAAGTAATTTGAAGTGGGGAAAATGATGATCTTACACGGAAACTACCCGGCCTGGTAAACACACAAAAAGCTATTGAAAATGGCCATAGAAATAGTGAGTTTTCCCATTAAACATTGTGATTTTCCATAGTTTGTTGTATGTTTACCAGAGGGTATGGCCCATGAAAGTAGAGGATGATTTAATCTATCCATTTCCATTCTGAGCTTCCATAGCTATTCTTAATAGTTTTAAAATGACCAGAGGTCAATGGCCATTCCAGGAACCCAAACCGGAGGTACCTACCACATATTTTTGGCATATTTTTTGGGCTACTTTTCCGGGGATATACCCCCCAATTTCTACGGCTCAAAATATGGTACTTTAAAACGTACCTCCATGTATTGGATCCTGGAATTTCCATTGAGATTCGAACAGGTTGGTCCCTAGCGGGTCAGCTAAGTTGGAATTCCAACAAGTAGGATCTTGGTCTGTCTGGAGCACATGGAAGATATATCCAAACACATCCATCTGATGGTTTATGGAAGATAAACAAATCCATGTATTTTGATTGTAAGTTGGTTTATACTAAGATGGGTTTATAATCCAACAACGAAGAAAACTGGGCACCGGGGCACCTGATATTTTTATCTTAGGGAGTGATAATGGGCCCGTAACACACAAGTTGTACGTTAGCTACATGGGATACTGAGTATGATATGATACACTGTGATACACCGACATTCTTCAATTTTATTGGCTCAATCGTTTCCAACGGAACTTGTTGTCAAATTGATAATCTGGGTAAATTTTGAGAATTCACTACCCTGATTTTTTTCGGCCATGTCCCCAAAAACTTCACCACAATTCCCACGTCACAATGTTTTCGGTTTGTCAAATTGTTGCCATCTTTTGCCCGTCCTCGAGGCCAGTTGAGATGCGGCAGGCACGATAAATCCTGGCGTCTGCTGGTTTTCATGGTGAAAAAAATGCATCTGGTGACTTGATGGTGGTTTCATGGGCATACATTGAATGTGATTTAATGGAATTCAATGGTGATTTCATGGGATTTAGTTTAATTTTTGGTTTAGGTGTGGACATTGCGATTTAATGGTGGTAAAATCGACATATCATGGTAAACCAACTGCTGAATGAATGCTTGGTAAGTTTGGAGTTTCACCGTTGGAATTCTTACTAAGGATGAACCAATGCTTAACCTGGGAACATCATCGCACATGTTTATTCGTGGTAATGGCATGCCCCCAATCCCCAGCAAGCGTTTATAACTAAGAGGACTAGGGGTCTATAGATACCCTCCGGTAATCAAAAACCATGGGCTTCCTAAACAAACAAATCCACCATAGAAATACCATCTGGTTATTTAACAGTTCGCCATGGAAAGATCTACCATCTTTAATAGGTAAACCATCTATTTCTATGGGCCATTTATACCATGGCTATGTCAGTCATAACCATAGAAATAGATGATTTCCCCAGCAACAAACCTCCATTTACAAGCGATTTTCCATCTAGCCACCTCTAATTACGATGATTTCATGGAGAACGATGAGGATACGAACCAATAAAAACTGGTCCACTGATCATTGGTCCACATGTACCTTTTGGTATTTAAGATATAGCTATGGAAAATCAACGTTTTAAATAGGTAAATCATCATCAATCATCTATAAATTGGCAATTGTTCATAGCTGTGTTACACAAGCCTTTGGGGTTACCGTAAACTGGCATTTCACTGGCGATTCTGAGGGATACACTCCAAAGATGTTCTGTTTATTCTTCAACCATGATATTACCATCTGGTTATTTAATAGTTCGCCATGGAAAGATCCACCCATTTTTAATAGGTAAACCTCTATAAATGGGCCATTTATACCATGGCTATGTTGGTCATAACCAGAGGGTAGGATAAACTATCATAATTTCGCCTGAAAAGTTCGGCCAAAAAATGGGATGATTCCCGTGATTTCCCGTGGGAGGTCTCTACTGAAAATTTACACAGAAATATCAACCGCCAGAAGTGTTCAAAACCCGCTTTACGTCGTCCCTTAAAAAATTGCCTCAGAAGATATGCCCATTTTGTGGATGATCTAGGATAGTAAAGTCCCATGCGCTCGTCATCCGAATCATTCAAGCATGATGTATCCGAATTGGATGGCTAAACCCTTATCATGATGCTGAAATCACAATGTCAAGCCCGGATTAATAAATCATGGTTTATTCATTGGGGGGGGTACCTCCTCCAACTCATATGATACTTAAATGGAATTCTCCCAATTAAACAGCCGTTTGGGGTTTATTAATCCAGGGTTGACATTAGATAATTATGATTAAATAACCTATTGGGCATGGTTTATCTAGGGTAACCAACTGGATGGGTACTTTGTACAACCCCAAAGGGTTGTGTAACACAGCTATGAAAAAATGTCAATTTATCTGGTTGGTGGTTTCAACCCCTCTGAAAAATATGAGTTCGTCAGTTGGGATGATGACATATATGGAAAGTCATACAATTCCATGGTTCTAAACCATCAACCAGTTATAGATGATTGATGGTGGTGAAATCACCAAAAACTAATTACTTGAATCCTCATCAATCAACAGGATTTAGCAGCCACTGCCCCACTGCGGATTTGGCATGCCTCATGCACCCCACGCCACTGCAGCCGTTGCGTTTCTGTTCCAAGCCTCAGGGTCTCAAATCGGCATAGTAACCCAAAAGATCAAAAAAACAACATGAAATCCTTCACTTCACTTCTCTGCAAGCCAACAGGCTTGGATGGCTGGGCTGGTGTTACTTCTTCCAAGACCCTAAATCCTCTGCGCTGCAGATCTTGAAAGCAAGCATTCACACGGGTCTTGCGGGGTATGTAAGCCAAGTGCTGGTAAAGGCGTTGCCTTGTCCAGAAAAAAATGAGACACGCGGGGCAGGTAGGTCCATCGATCAGATGCCGTTCGATGGCTAAAAAAAATGGTGTGCCTGTCGCTTGTGGGCTGCCGCACTGCCAGTCCTTGTGGGGTATCAAAAACGCAACGTCCGCAAAAACATTGGGAGTATCAGGATCCTATTTTGTGGGGATATCCCCTTACATAGGCCTTATATATGGTAGGTACCTCCGTCCACAATCGGTTCCTGTTGCATGGCCATTGACAAAAACATACGGCTGCTCAGCTTCTGGAGATTCATTGCCCATGGAGGCGATGTATGGTCAATGGGAGATCTCCAGGATCCTAAATTGGAGGTACGTTAGTACCATATTTTTGGCCATATTTTCTAGGGATATTCCCTGAAATTTAGGCCTTATATAGGCCTTATATATGGTAGGTACCTCCATTTTAGGATCCTGAAATTCTCATTGATATGGTCTGCATACCGTCTGGTTATGACGAACAGTTCGCCATGGTAGTTCGATGGCCCATAGAAATGGATGATTTTCCCAGCGAACGACCACCACCATTTATGGTTGGGATTTTCCATGGCGAACTGTTAGTCATAATCAGACGGTATCTTTTTGGGGTTTACTATAATCATAAAATGGTTCTGATATCTTTTGATATGCTACACCACAAGGTGAGGCCCTAAAAATAAAAGTGATGTTGAGAACACCACATGAACAAACAAAATACACTATAGTTGACCAAGTATATCTACAACATTAGCACATTTCTGGTTTATACACCACATGATCAACATGAAAACTATAGATATACCACGCAAAAACAATGTATCCGAGCCCTGACGTTTTTCGAAGTCAACTGCGCTGGAAAATGGCAGTCACCCGAGCCCGAGTAACGTAGGAAATGCCCGGGCCCTAAATGGTGTATAGTTGGGAAAATCATCGAACTTTTGCTAGTGGATTTTCACTTGCCACGTTTGATTGCCGAAGAATATTATATTTATATATATACATGTAAAAAGGTCATGGATGACAATGGCCAATCTTAGATAGATAACATGCATATTCTTGTTGGCTATAGTACACATCCTCATTAATGACAAGAGATTAAACGACTGCAGAACCCATCCATGGTTCTTGTAGAATCATAGGAAGATGAAACACATGACCAAACAACGCCGAATGGTTGAATTTATGGCACCTACTATAATTGTCAATATATCAATATATCAATATAAAAAAAATAGTTAAATATTGCTATCCTTCGACATTCCGATATATAATATAATAAAATATATTACAATATAACATAACATAATATAATATTATACAATATTAAAAAGTATAAAATTATATAATATAATACAATATATTATAGTATAATATAATATAACATAATATAATATAATATAATAAAATATAATACAATATAATACAATATAATATAATATAATATACTATAATAATATAATATAATATGATATAAAATAATATAACATATTGAAATATACTAAAATATAATATAGTAATTTGTATTAATATACAATAAAATATAATATAGTTTAATATAATATAAAATAAAACAATTAAAAAAAATATAATATAATACAATATATTATAATAAAAGAAATATAATATAATAATTTGTTTTATCATATAATATAATATAATTTTATAATTTAATACATTATAGTTTTATGTAATAGAATAGAAAATAACAAAATATAAAATATTAACATATTTATTAAATAACATTATGTTATATTATGTTAATTTTTAAAATATTATAATTTATTACATTATATTATATTAAATCACAATATATCATAATATTATTTAAAAAAAATATAATTAATTATAAAATAATTTTATATAAAATGATAAAAGTTAATTTAATATAATAAATTATATTTTTAAAAATATATTAAAATAAATGAGAATATAATATAATATAATATTTTTAAATATAATATAATATAATATATTTTATTATAATATATTTAAAAAAATATATAATATAAAATAATATAATATAATTTAATATATGATAATATAATGTAATATATTATGATATAATATAATATAATATAAAAAAAATAATATAATATATTATAATAGAATATAATATAATATACAAAATATAAAGATAAAATATAATATAATATACTATAATAAAATATAAAACATGTAAAACATATAAAAATAGATTAGAATATAATATACAATAAAAATCATATTATATAACAAAATTTAATATAATTTAATATACAATATAATTTAAATTAATAGATTATACAATATAATATTTAAAATATAATTTAATTTATTATAAAGTTATAAAATAAAACTATATAATAATATATTATAATTTGATATTATTTAATATATTATACTCAAATGAAATATATCAAACTATAATATAACATATGATAATATAATATATTATAATATAATATATTGAAATATAATATTATAAAATATAGGATAATATAATATAATTAAAAAAAATCAAAATTTATATAATATAATATAATTTAATATAATATAGCATAATATAACACAATAAAATGTAATATAATATAATATATAATGTGTGTGTTTTTGGAATAACATACTCCTTCGCAACAATGTTGACCCATCATCCCTGGAGGGCGTTTCTCAGTTTGAACCGCAGCTTGCCGGGAAGCCACCGTTCCGTCTGATCTGAGGGGATGTGGAAGCCATCAAAGAACCACATCATTTGTTGGATTTGTATGGTTTAGCCTGGTTAAAAGATGCTACCCTCTGGCTATGACTAACATAGCCATGGTATAGATGGCTCAAAGAAATAGATGGTTTACCTGGGTTTACCTATTAAAAATGGTGGATTTTCCCATTGGTGGCTTTTCACCTTACCCCTCTGAAAAATGTGGAAAATAATCCAAATGGAAAAGTAATCCAAATGTTCCAAACCACCAAGCAGTCATTTGTTGGGATGATGAATCCCATAGTCATTGAGAGGTTTCTGATTCTTCCTATAAATATCTAGAAAAAATGCCCAAAACGTGGAAAACCGGCATCCACCAAGCCGTTCCAACAACTCATCCACTGAGCCCATGATGTCAGCTACGCATACAGGGGCCAGTTCAATGTCTGCTTGGAGTGGTTGCAACATTTATAGGAAACAATATTCCTCCAATTTCTAGTTGGTGATTTGAACCATCTTGAAAAATGATGGAGTTCGTCAATGGGAAGGATGACATCCCTTTTTTATTATGGAAAATAAAAAATGTTTGAAACCACCAACCAGATTTTTGTCGACCCAGCCATGGCATGACGTAGTCGGCTGATACCATCGGTATGAAACTAGGCCCAAGCTCCTTGCGGTTGTGGATAGACTCTGGTAGTTTAACATAGCTATTGAAGCCATGGCCATTTACTTTGTTGATTTACCTATCAACGATGGTGAATTTCCATAGTTATACTATGAGAGCAGGTATGCATGGGGGGAGGAGTTGTGAAAGGTCTCCAGCCCCCATGGGTACCCCTTCTGTATATTATACCAGAGGGCACTCCCAACAGGACATTCCTCAAGATATCCATGGCGATCAATGGCCACAAACAAAATTTGGAATTTTCTAACAAACATCAGGCAACCCCCGATCTCCAATCTGAATGATCAGTCTATTTAGTGGTTGATAATAAACCTGATTAAGTCATATTAGGCCCTAATTTCCATATCTTCTTCTTTTTAAAACCATGTATTCGCATGTGCTAGCCTATGCCTATAGACTCTGGCTGTTTGGGTCGTTTCAAATTAGGTCCTAATTTCCTGGTGTTCTTCAACCATTTCTAGGAGAAAGTTCCCTAATCCGCTTACTCACCGCTTTCGGAAAAGTGGGATGATCCTCATTTTTCGCTAAATACGAAATCTTCACCCAATTTGAAGCCCATTGATGGTAAAACTAACAATACTTACTCAACCAAACAACTAGTTAACTAAGGTGAACTAGTCAACATATGTTCAACTACTCCCTGGCCCCGACGAAATAACCCACCATTGTTAATGGTCAAATCCGAGAGATTTAAAGATTAGCCATGATTTGTTTGAACGTTGTATTGGTTATACAAACTATCTTTGATGATGGTTAAAAATGACTAAACCATAAACAACCCGATTCGGAGGTTTCCTGAAATAGGGGTACTCCTAAATCATCCATTTCAATAGGGTTTTCCATTATAAACCATCCATTTGGAGATCCCCCATTTATGGAAACCCACATTCTGATGGTGACCCCCTTCATAATTTCCGCCAAGACACACGACTCAAAGGATTCCCGGAAGAGTTCAAATCGTTCTTCGCAGATTTGGAAGACCGGCTTGCCTTCCTCAGCGACGAGGCAAACAAATGCCAAACTGGTTATCATAAGAAACTTTCCAATGTGGGCAAAACAATAAACCACCCATTTGGGGAATGGTTTATACCATCTGTTTATGGTGATTCGGAGGGTGGTTTATTATTGTTTCTCAAACATTATCAAAGGAAGTTGGGAAGCAATACTTCCGTGTTACGGACAAATAGAATTCTGAGACTTGAAATGATGAAGGGTGGTGCGCGATTGCCACTTGACCTTGAAGGGTGGTGCGCGATTGAGACTTGACCTTGATGAAGGGTGGTGCGCGATTGAGACTTGACCTTGATGAAGGGTGGTGTGAGACTTTACATAACATAACAATACATCACATTGAGACTTGACCTTGATGAAGGGTGGTGTGAGACTTTACATGACATAACAATACATCACATTGAGACTTGACCTTGATGAAGGGTGGTGTGAGACTTTACATGACATAACAATACATCACATTGAGACTTGACCTTGATGAAGGGTGGTGTGAGACTTTACATGACAGTGGTGACGAAGGGAGGTGGGGACGATGGGAAGTGTTGAGGAAGGGAAGTGGTGAGGAAGGGAAGGGGTTACCATGGGAAGTGGAGAGGAAGGGAAGTGATCATGAAGGGAAGTGGTGAAGAAGGGAAGTGGTTACGATGGGAAGTGGCGAGGCAGGGAAGTGGTGACGATGGGAAGTGGTGACGAAGGGAAGTGGTGACGAAGGGAAGTGGTGAGGAGGGGAAGTGGTGAGGAGCAGAAGTGGTGACAAAGGGAAGCTGCATGATTGTTGCATCATGTTTTTACTTGATGGAATTGACTATGATGAAGGGTGGTACATCACATCACAATACAATAGCAATATATAACAAAAGAATAAGAGGCTATGAGATAGGGTGGCGACGAAGGGAAGTGGTGTTGAAGGGAAGTGGTGACGATGGGAAGTGGTGATGTTGATGCTCCACCCCATGCCCTTCCATTTGGTTGTACCACTTGGATTGAACGATTCGTTCGGAATCTATATGCACGAAAGGCTTCTGTATGGACGTTGCACAATACATAGAATTGGACATGAGAGATGAAACAACTATACAAGCATGGCGGATGCAAGACGGCGATAAGTTTTGTTTTTTTGGTAGTCTCACTTTTGTAAGATGTTGCTGGAACCCTTTTTTAGATGTTGTTGGCTTTCCATGGATGCTGGTTCGCAGGTGATGGGTTCACTGCTTTGAGAGATTAGTACAAACAAGCTTGTTAGAATATATCCAGCTACCGGGTTCTCCATGGTCTCCATGATGACAAGACACGCTGTGAAGCCACAGCATCTGGTTCAAGCTGTTGTGCAAACATTTTTAAATGTCAATGAAGCAAGCAGACATGTGATGATGCTCATACATCAGCAGCACACAAATGAATCATGTGTTAAGTGTTAACTCATTTCTGGAGTCGACGTATCCAAAGGAATAGTTCGTGCGTGAGCAAGTTCCGCAGTGCGGCCCGGACTTGCGAGCGCACGTCGCGCAATTTCTGGGCACGGCAGTGCGGCCTGCTCACTGACACGTTCTGCAGCCATGGTGGAACCGGATGCTTTTACGCAGCTGCTGTCATATGTTGAGAGAGAAACAGAGACTTTGAAGCTTTTGCGATGCCAGACTTTGAAAGAATGTTTATTGACAGGAAAAGCAAATAGCAAACGTGAAGGAAATGCTGAACGCTTCAAGCATTACAAGATGTACCTTGCTTTGCAGAATAAGATGTCGGCGGAGCAAAGAGACATGCTAGCAGAATGGGAAAGAGGAAATTGCGTGCAAGACGCTGTGGGACTGCGACCCGCTTTTCAAAAGTTTTGCAGCATAGCAGAACAGCATGTAGATGCAATGAGAGCTTTGCGAAAACCTACATTGGAAGAGGTCTGCTTGAGTTTTGCCGCGATGGAGAATAGTGCTTGGGGAGGCGTTTGTCGTGGTTTTGCGACAAGGCATCCATATAAGACTTTCAATGAGAAAGAAAGGGAAAAGTGGAAGCAGCTGGAGGAGCGCATATGTGTGGATGATAGTCCCATGCAGCAACAGTTCGAGGGTTTCATGAAAATGCTTGAAGATAACAGAGATGAGTTGAAAGCTATGCAAAAGTCTTCGTTGCTTGAACTCCTTCGTGTGGCTGAGCGCACAGGCAACAAAGAATACATATTTGGCAGAATTTTTTGGCGACGGAGTTATGACAAGCTGGATGACGATATGAAGGCTACGTTGCAGGAATGGGAAGCATTGTTGTGCGTTCCATCGGTTGATGTGGTAGACAAGTTCATGCAGATCCTGGATCGACATGAGTTACGCTCAACCTTGCTGACGTGCAGAAGCGCCGAGATAAGTTGAAAGTAGGTCCAACGCGTGAGAAAGTTTGAGCTGCGCTCAGATGACATGAAAATAGCCAAGAAGAACGTAGCTGACATATGGGAAGGCATGAAACCAGATGAAAAGAGCTCAGATGTGACGTGTGAAGGGTGCAATGTGATGTGTGAGGAAAGTGCTTGCTTCACGTTGCATTGCACCGGGGACGCGCGCAGGTCATGGGCCTGGCTGGCGCACTGCGCATGCAAGTTCCTTAGTAGTAGTACTGGGAAGTGATTCATGAAAGCTTAGGTGACATATGAGAAGAGATGAGATGAGAAGAGATGAGCTGGGATAAGGTGAGAAGAGCTCAGATGAGATGAAGTGTGGAGTGTGAAGAGTGCAGTGTGAAGTGTGGGGCGTGAAGAGTGCAGTGTGAAGTGTGGAGTGTGAAGTGTGAAGTGTGGAGTGTGAAGTGTGAAGTGTGGAGTGTGAAGTGTGAAGTGTGGACTGTGAAGTGTGAAGTGTGGAGTTTGCAGTGGGAAGCGTGCAGTGTGAAGAGTGTAGTGTGAAGTGTGTAGTGTGGAGTGTGAAGACTGTCAAGTGTGAAGTGTGAAGTGGAGCTTCAAATGTGACATGTGAAACAAGACACCAGTTTCGCAGCGTGCACGCACGCACGGGCTTGGCTGGCGCACGGCGCATGCAAGTTCTATAGATGAGAAAGGTCTTATATATATCTTTAAGGCAACTTCCGCCCCGCCTCGTGCGGGTACTACTGGTACATGTATACGTGGATCTATGTATGACCTTTCTACGATACCCTGCAATCTGCATTTCTTTTGGCATGGCTAGTATCTATCCGCATCTATACATATTTACACATATTTACACAAGAATATTAAGCCCATTCGATAGCACTGGCTCAGTGCTAATCTTAGATATTATCTGCCAAGAAGGAATGTCCTAATTATCGGTTGGGAAACTCTATTTGTAGCTCCAACTGGCTCCCCCTTTTTTCTTGAAAATAGACTTAAGGCACTCAACCCATAAATCAGCCGTAAAAGCCATTAAATCCCGATTTCGTGTTGGATTAAATCCTACTGTGGATGGTTGCGAAATCCTGTAGCAGTTAGTGACTACTCGGATCGCATAATTCAACTCTGTGGCTATAATGGGAGTATAAGCGGATATTTATATGACCATTAGTCGGATTTTGTATATACCGAATCAGAACAAATCATCCTCTTTAATAGGAATTCAACACTATCAATACAAATCAATACCAGTTAGTAACTAATGGGATTGTAAAAGGGTGTTTATCATCTACCAGCTGGTGCAGGATTTCTTCATCGCCCAGCTTCGGCTTCCAGGTAGTTGTGGCAGTTCCTGGGCGATGCCGCGATGCCGAAGCAACGAACATGGAGATGTAATAGGTTCATAACCAACAAAATGACGATTTGGTTGGTAGATAGATACAAATGTAAATATATATATACACAAATGTGCGTAATTATAAATATATATATATTAGGTATACGTTTTTTTTTAAATATATATATATAATAGGTATAATTCAATATATATATGTATACATACATACATATATATACATACATACATATATATATACATATATATATACATACATATATATATATATACATACATATATATATACATACATACATATATATATACACTCAATACCTACACGGTAGTTCCACTTGGCAAGGTTCATTTAGTTGTGGCAGATATATCAAAGTATAGTTAGATGATATTACAATGATATTAGAAGGATTAAGGATTTATAAACATCTAACTATGGTAATGATATATATATATATATTTCTATTTAGATGATATTCATATACAAAAGTCTAATGGGGGTAATCCCCTTCACAATGTGTCAATGGAATGGTTTAATAGGTAAAACATAGAAGCAACAAACGCCCAAAACAGGAGGTGTCCTGTCGATGTTTGCTTCAACCATTCTAGGAATGTGATGCCCCCTGAGAATAACAGCTACGTCCGTTTCCGTTTAAGGCGCTTCAATGGGCCAACCTTGGTGGATTTTTTTCTATGGTTGGATGGGTGCAACTGAACCAACCTGAAAGGTTGGGCGGACCACTTTCTATGAATACAATGTGAGGCCCCCGTTCGATAGCTAAGTTGGTGAACATAACTCCAATAACTATGGTTTATGGTACTTATACCTATAGTTACTGGGGCTTATAAACCAACTTTTATAACTGGGGGGGCCACATTGTATGAATAGAATGTATCAGGACAGAGTACATCAAACTTGCTGCATTGATGTCATCCTATTCGGAATGTCGTATGATCATGTTTGATCCCCGATCATCATACGACGAGCTATTGCATTTTGTTTACAAAATGAGCCCCTCAGTATTGAGGCGGTTTGGTTGCAACCGTACAACTAAAAATTGAGCCATAAATGGAGGTTTCCTAAAATAGGGGTACCCCCAAATCATCCATCTTAATCTGGTTGGTGGTATACCTATCCCTCTGAAAAATATGAAAGTCAGTTGAGATTATTATTCCCAATATATGGAAAGTCATAAAATTCATGTTCCAAACCACAAACCAGTAAATTATTACTATATATATATATCCCATTAATTGCCATGAAACATGGGATATTCCCGCCCCAAAAAAAGATTTATGTTCCCTTGTAACGCAACCATTTTGTGGTCCCTCCCATTTATGGAAACCCTCAAATCCGTCCGACTAGCAACAACAAGTTAAAGAACGACTTTCCAGGCGACCCAACTTTGTATAAGGCAACCGGTAAATTAACATAGCTATGGAAAAAATAGTAGGTAAATCAACTGTACATGGGCATTGTCGCTATGTTCAATTACCAAAGGGTAACATGTTAAACTCATACCTTTCAAATCTGGATGGTCCTGACATATACCGTACTGCAATTGACCAAAGCGGACACGCCCAAACAATGGATAACATGGGAATCTAATCAGCAAAACATGGTTCAATCAGCAAACATCGTGTTTTTTTATGGAGTATGACTATGTGTCAAGGAAAACATCAAACAAACCTGAAGCAAGATTTTAAGAAACGGTTTCAAAGTGCTCACTGTTTTGAGGATCTAGACCATGGTGAGGTCGTTTGAAGTTGCTATCAATTATCCAATGGTGATGAAAGCAATGGCAAAGCGAGTTCAACCCAAAACATATGGGTTGAGGGTAATTACCCTCTGGTAAACAACCATAACTATGCAAAATCACCATTTTTCATGGGAAAACTCACTTTTTCTATGGTGATTTTAACCATAGTTTTTTGTATGTTCACCAGAGGGCAAACCTTCTATGATGATGTCACCAACAACGATACAACCATTGTTCAACCCGGCGAGAATCATGGGATATGACCAGCATATCCCGATCAAACCACAAGAAACAAGATTGTCAATGAGACTGACGAGGGCTCTTCATTGCAATACAAAAAGCAATCAAGGTGCTATTGAAAATCTGGTTGCTGGTATACCTACCTACAAATCTGAAAAATGATGGAGTGAAAGTCGGTTGGGATTATGGCATTCCCAAGAGATGGAAAGTCATGGAAAATTCCATGGTTCCAGTCACCACCAACCAGTATAGATATGTCAATCCACCATCAATCAACCACCAACCAGAAATTGATCCTTCATTTACCCTCTGGTAAACTAACATAACTATGGAAAATCACAATTTTTCATGGGAAAATCCACTATAAATGGCAATTTTCAATAGCTATGTTTGTTTACCAGAGGGAATTTGTTATTTTTCTGCTTTTTCAGGAAGCTCCCCGGATGCGACACATTGGAAATCAACCAAACAACACCAATCAAATGTGTGGAAGCGAATCATTTGGTACACTTTGCTTGTTTGTAAATAAACCAGTGATTGCGCGTCATGTGTGTAAGTCGAGGCCAATCAGAATCAGGGAGTGGTTTCCTTTGCATGACTTGCACACATTGAGATATCGGAACCTTGCAGATTTTTTGTTGCTGTCAAGCATCGGATTTTCAATGCAGCTGTCCAACTCACTCTCACATTCCTCAAGTGGCTGGCTTGGCTGTATGGCTTAAGGGCTGTTTGTGATTGATACTGTTAGCGTTTGGCTGTCTACCAGTAGTACCGCACAAGGCGGTGGCGGAAGTTTCAAAAATAGGAAACCTATAGGAGAGATTGGTTGTTGTGAATCAAGGATGGCAGAGCGAATCCACTGATGGACCGAAAGGTGCTTGAGGTCTCCTCTCTTTCTCTCTCTTGCTCTGACTATCTACCTACCTACCTGTCTATCTTCTATGTATCTATCTATCTATCGATCTATCTATCTATCTGTCTCTCTCTCTCTCTTTCATCTCATTACCTATCTATCTATCTATCTGTCTATCTATCTATCTCTCTCTCTCTTTGTCCTGGCTATCTGTCCAGCTGTCTACCAGTCTATCTGTCTATCTATCTATCTATCTGTCTATCTGTCTACCTGTCTATCTGTGGTGCAGTGTCATTCAGTGTAATGCAGTGTAGTGTAATGTAGTGTAGTGTAGTGGAGTGTAGTGGAATGTAGTGTAGTGTAGTGTACTGTTGTGTAGTGTAGTGTAATTTAGTGTAGTGGAGTGTAGTGGAGTGTAGTTTTGTAGTTGTAGTTGTAGTGTAATGTTATGTAGTGAAGTGTAGTGGAAGGTAGTGTAGTGTAGTGTAATGTAGTGTAGTGGAGTGTAGTGTAGTGTAATGTAGTGTAGTGTAATTTAGTGGAGTGTAGTTGTGTAGTTGTGTAGTTTTAGTTGTAGTGTTGTGGAGTGTAGTGTAATGAAGTGTAGTGGAGTGTAGTGTAGTGTAGTGTAGTGTAATTTAGCGTAGTGGAGTGTAGTGGAATGTAGTTGTGAAGTTGTGTAGTTGTGTCGTTTGGTAGTTGTATTTGTAGTGTAGCGTAGTGTAGTGTAATGTAGTGAAGTGTAGTGGAAGGTAGTGTAGTGTAGTGTAATGTAGTGTGGTGTAGTGTGATGTAGTGTAGTGGAGTGTAGTGGGGTGTAGTTGTGTAGTTGTAGTTGTAGTTGTCATGTAGTGGAGTGGAGTGTAGTGTAGTGAAGTGTGGTGGAAAGTAGTGTAGTGTAGTGTAGCGTAGTGTAATGTAGTGTATTGTAGCGTAGTGTAGTGTAGCGGAGTGTAGTGTAGTGTAGTGTAGTGAAGCGAAGCGACATCTGAACCTCCAAAAGTGGTCCGAACCCCTGGTGTTTTTAACATTATGACTTCGAAATGTACTTCGCGCCACAACGGCGTGCACTTTTTCGACATCTGAACCTCCAAAAGTGGTCCGAACATGTGGTGTTTTTAACATTTTGACTTGGAAATGTGCTTTGCGCCACAACGGTGCGCACTTTTTCGACATCTCAACTTCCAAAAGTGGTCCGGAGCTGGTGTGCTTTGTACATTTTGACTTCCAAATGTGCTTCGCGCCACAACGGCGTGCACTTTTTCGACATCTCAACTTCCAAAAGTGGTCCGAAGCTGAGGTGTTTTGTACATTTTGACTTGGAAATGTGCTTCGCGCCACAATGGCGTGCACTTTTTCGACATCTCAACTTCCAAAAGTGGTCCGAAGCTGAGGTGTTTTGTACATTTTGACTTGGAAATGTGCTTCGCGCCACAACGGCGTGCACTTTTTCGACATCTCAACTTCCAAAAGTGGTCCGGAGCTGAGGTGTTTTGTACATTTTGACTTGGAAATGTGCTTCGCGCCACAACGGCGTGCACTTTTTCGACATTGCAACTTCCAAAAGTCGTCCGACGCTGAGGTGTTTTGTACATTTTGACTTGGAAATGTGCTTCGCGCCACAACGGCGTGCACTTTTTCGACATCCCAACTTCCAAAAGTGGTCCGGACCTGGTGTGTTTTGTACATTTTGACTTGGAAATGTGCTTCGCGCCACAACGGCGTGCAATTTTTCATCGCTCCTGTGGCCAGCTGGGTCCGCACCCGCCGCTTTAGCGAGCCTACTTTTCGACCCTCCGGAGCCACAAATCATTGGAAAAACACAGTGTTTCGCGACTTTCCTACCTTTTCGCGCATCTGTATCTTCTTTCTTCTGACTCTTTCTCTTCTACTCTTCTCTCTTCTAATCTTTCTCTTCTCTTTGCCTCTGCCCTGCTCTGCTTTTCATCTGTCCATATTGTCGGAAGTTTGACTTCTAAACTTCCTTCGATTAAGTGCTAGCTCTCATATTCGTAAACATTTTACTAGTGGTTGTTGATGATTGATGAAAATAAGGGCTTATTAAGGGCTTATCAATCACTCGCAACCAATAATAAAGGCGTACTAAATATCTATATAGTGTATAGTTATCTTAAACTGAGTCATAAATGAATATAAATGATCATTTTTGATAGTTATCTTAGTTTACCGGAGAGTCGAAGTTGGATGCACCAGAGATCCAACACCTTTCAGCAGTGGTCCTCATAGGTTTCTGGGTTACTCCCCCCATCCAGTTTGCCGGGAAAAATGGATGAACATTGCCCGTGAAACACCACTGTTTGGTGGTTTTAACCGTCTTGAAAAATATTAGTCAATGGGAAGGATTATCCCATATATTATGGCAAACAAAAAATGTTTGAAACCACCAACCAGACCATGATTTACCTATGAACAACGGTTCTTTTGGCAAACTTCTTAGATTCCCCTTAGCCTTAAAAAGCACTTTTTGATGTCGAAAATTTTCGGAATCGGGAAGCGTCCATCATTCATCCCGCCATTCACAATGGTTTTATAGGGGATGACACCATATAGTTGGGATAGAAAACAGGCCATTGGATATCATTCCGAAACCATCCCATTGACGAACCGTTAGTTGGGTCATGTCTTACATCAGCGCATGGGGAACGGGGTATACTCATCTGGTTGGTGGTTTTAACCATCTTGAACAATATTAGTCAATGGGAAGGATTATCCCATATACCAGTAGTGCCGCACAAGGCGGTGGCGGAAGTTTCAAAAATAGAAGACCTATAGGAGAGGTTGGTTGTTGTGAATCACGGATGGCAGAGCGAATCCACTGATGGACCGAATGGTGGTCTGAGCTGTGTTTTTTGGAGGGCTGCAATGGTTGCAGTGGTCACCTGGTCGGTCACCTCACCCACAACTGCTGGATGTAGTGTGGTGTAGCGCAGCTGTAGTTGTAGTTGTAGTGTAGTGGAGTTGTGGTGTACTGTAATTAGTGTAGTGTAGTTGCAGTTGCCTTTGTGGTGGTGTAATGAGTGTAGTGTAATGTAATGTAATGTAATGCAATGTGGGGTAGGCTGGTGTGGTGCAGCTGAGTGTAGTGTGGTGTGGTGTGGTGTAGTGTGGTGTAGGGTAGCGTAGTGCAATGCAATTAGTGGTGTAGTGTAGTGTAGTGTAGCGTAGCGTAGCGTAATGTAGCGTAGTGTAGTGTAGTGTAGTGTCGTGTAGTGTAGTGTAGTGCAGTGTACAGTAGTGTAGTGTAGCGTCGTGTAGTGTAGTGTCGTGTAGTGTAGTGTAATGTAATGTAATTAGTGTAGTGTAGTGTAGTGTAGTCTTTTGTAGTTGTAGTTGTAGTTGTAGTTAGTGTGATGTAGTGTAATGTAATGTAATGTAGTGTAGTGTAGTGTGTAGTGTAGTTGTAGTTGTAAATTGTAGTTGTAGTTGTAGTGTAGTGTTATGTAATGTGTTGTAGTTGTCGTTGTAGTTTTAGTTGGAGCTGTAGTTGTAGTTAGTGTAGTGTAGTGTAGTGTGGTGTAGTGTAGTGTAGTGTAATGTAGTGTAGTCTGGCCTACTCTAGTCTAGTCTAGTCTAGTCTAGCGTAGTGTAGTGTAGTGCAGTGTAGTGTAGTGTAGCGTCGCGTGGTGTAGTGTACTGCGGTGTAGTGGAGTGTAGTGTGGTGAGGTGTAGTGTAGTGGAGTGGAGTGGGGTGTAGTGTAGTGTAGCGCAGTGTAGTGTAATGTAATTAGTGTAGTGTAGTGTAGTCTTATGTAGTTGTAGTTGTAGTTAGTGTGATGTAGTGAAATGTAGTGTACTGTAGTGTAGTGTAGTGTAATGTCATTAGTGTAGTGTAATGTAGTGTAGTTGGAGTTGCAGTTGTAGTTGTAGGTCTAGTGCAGTGTCATTCAGTGTAGTGTAGTTTAAAGTGGAGTAGTGAAGTTGTAGTGTAGTGTAGTGGAGCGTAGTGTAATTTTAGTGTAGTGTAGTGGAATGTAGTGTTGTGTAGTGTAGTGTAGTGGAGTGTAGTGGAGTGTAGTGTAGTGGAATGTAGTGTTGTGTAGTGTAGTGTAGTGGAGTGTAGTGGAGTGTAGTGTAGTGTAGTGGAATGTAGTGTGGTGTAATGGTGGTTGTAGTTCAAAATGCTACAAAACCCTCACATTTTGCTCACTTTTGACGCGAGGCATGTGTCAGGTTCACTGCACTATTGCTCACTTTTGACAAGGTGCACAATCCCTTGCGCCTGC